GATACTTTGTGCAAAAGACTTTAGTATGTATATGCTTTGATATCGTCTAGATATGTATGTATAGGAGACATCGACCATCATGCGTCTATATCATCATTATCTTCATCTCACTTCTGCTCCTGCAACACCTCCTCCGTTGTACGAACAATAATATCAAAAGCATTACGGATATACTTCTCTTCAGCCAGAGCGTTGCCACTAATCACCCGGATAACACAGACGCCATCAATGACTGTAGAGGTGATGAAGATTTCGCCCCGCGTGTTCACCAACTCGGAGATCTTCTTGGTCAGACCGTCGGCAACTTCATCTTTGGCCACGCGATCAGATGATCCATTGGCCTCGTTAGATACAGCCTGAGGGTTCTTCACGCGGAAGACAGTCAAGCCAAAGCCTGGCTTTGTGACAATCTCAAATAGATCGGATCGACCGCGCACCAAGCCAGCAAAAAGATCGCCAAACCCGACGGTTTTCCGGATGTGTGCTTTCATGCCGTTGAGACCATAGCTCCGAATCACGAACCAAATCTTCAGTGCGCGGAATCTGCGACCGAGAGAAATAGACCAATTCCGGTAGTCAATTACGTTACCCATATCCGAGTATGGGTTGCGTAGATATGCTGGGGTGATATCCAATGCACTCGTGAGATCTAAGCGATTCCGGACAAAGAGAACACTTGGGAATGTTAGATCGAAGTTCAACATTTGCCCACAGACCATTGGAGTGAAAAGCTTACCTAGCATCAAAGTTGACTAGCAGCCACTTGTGCATATTCGTGTTGAAGCTGTCAACACCCTCCGCAAAGTTTTGCGCAATATACTGCCACTCATCTGCAACGAGGGATGCACCGGCATAGGCGGCATCAACGTGTACCCAGATACGCTGCCACGCGGGCTTTTCTTGCAGAACTGCCTTGATCTCCGCAAAGCGGTCCACGGCGCAGGTATTCGTCGTGCCAAAGGTTAGAGTGAGGTGGTATGGGGTAAGTCCGTCCTTATCGCATTTTTCAAGAACCTCCCGGAGACGAGGTGCGGTCATTTCCATGTTATCCTCCAGTCGTGTGGACACGCTGCGAAAGCGAGTACCGGCAACCAAAGCACCCTTGGCACCACTGCTGTGTGTTTGGTCACTGGCGATAGCGACCAGCTTCGCTTGGATATCGAATTTGCGGTCCTCATACTCTGGTGTACCCTCCTTCAGGCCCTCGGCAAGCAGTAGCTCCCGCACACGCCTCTCCCGTGCAGCGACAATAATGGTCGCAATAGCATCACTCGCACTGTTCTGGATCACACCGCCGCCGTGGGTCTCTGACGTGCTCCGGAAACACTCCGGTAGTGCCAGAGCTTTCGCGACCCAGTCCATAACAATGGTCTCCATCTCCGTGCATGCTGGCGAGCACAACCAGTTGAAAGCAGGTGCGGTGAACGTGGCGGAATACATCTCACCCAGGATACTGGGGTATGTCACGCAGGCGGGGAAGTATGCCATGAAATTGGGAGACTGCCAATGGGTTAAGCCGGGTTTGATCTTGGTGTCAACATCTTCCTGGATTTGTGCCCAATTCTCTGGCTCATCGGGAGGGTTCTCTGGGATTAGAGGGCGAAGGTATCCGGGCTCGATGGCGGGCAGGACTCGGCGCTCGGGCACGCTGTCGAAGTAATTGATGACTGCAGGAAAATTTGGTTAGACTGAACATTATTGGGACTGAAATTGCACAATCATATGACGGCCCGTACTATCATCAATGGCAGAATGCGCCGCGGTCTTGAACTGGTCGCGATCCATGTTGCGGTGGGATCTACGATGCGGGGAACCCAGTTTGATCTGGAGCTGCAAGTTCGGCAATTGGCGGCACAGTAGAATACAATCCAGTAAAAAGAATGTAGAATAAGACTACAAGTGGAATTCGTGAGATTGAGGACACGGCTAATGTGTTAAGGTAAATGTGGGAAAAGCAGGCATGTCGAAGAAAAGGCGCGGGGAATTAATTCCGTCGGAACCATAGATCCACATTCCGAGATTCGGAACATTCCGACTTTCCGATGAGGTTCCATAGATACGTACGGAGTACATAGTTATATACATAGCTCAATATTCCTCTTCTTTGGGATCATAAATGTCACCTGCAGGCGTCTTCTCCAACCTCTTCCCGTCTTCCGTCACAATCTCCTTGCTAGGGACAACCACCACAAAGACCCGAGCAACATCCTTGCCTCGGTTCACCCATTCATGATTTGCGCCGCGGCAGACAATGACGTCGTGCTGATTTAGGATCTTCTCTTCGCCGCCGTCTGTAATAAATCCAACAGTGCCAGACAGCACTACAGCGTAATCCAAGCTCAGTGTTCGATGGAACCAGCCTGCGTCTGCAGGGGGTAGATCGAGGATGCGACAGGAAGGACCCTTGGTGTCAGCCAGTGGGACGAGAGTCTTGTGCGGATCAGAGAGCTCGCGCATATTATCCACTGGGAAGCCGCGCGACCGGTGAATTTGGATAACCCCAAATCCAGAGTCAGGCCCCGGGGTTGAGAATGCCGGAGCAGATGTGGGATCGTATGGCGTCAAAACTTCGTCGGAAGCGAAATATGCTTTCCCCTGGGCATCATGGCCTGCGATCACACGACGAATTGGAGCATCCATGATAGGAAATAAGAATGAGAGGGATTGGGAGAGTCTTCTAGATGAAAGAAGAGTGTGTATGGCAGTAGAGAAAGCAAGCGAGGACTGCTGTCTTTATATGCCTTGTGGACTAACTAAATAACTGGCAACAAGACTAAAATAAAGATTACCAAGCACCTCAAAGACGTCGACAGTCATTTATCGATTCGGTACACGCTGTCCGATTGATAATCATGGGATTTGTAAGATGGGGGCTGAAAATCTATGAAGCCGCAAAAACAAAGCTTTCAGCTGGCAGAAAACTCTAAATCTATAGGTACTATTGACATAATCTTTTGATAAATCGTGTCTAATAGCTTCGTTGTTGCTCACTTAGCCCTATTTGAATCATTTGAGCCCCATTGCTTACCTCCCCCGTCGTCCGGATTGTCAAAGCCCTCATCATAGACTTCCGCTTTCAGCTCCCTCCCTTGGATATTTATCTTCTCCATTGGTAAATACACAAACAGCATGCGGCACCAGTCTGTATTGCTCCGGTTCCTGAACGAATGTGCAGTACCCCTTTGCACAATCACATCGCCACGATGCAAATGTCGACTCGCACCTGAGTCTAGTACGAGATCAACATCCCCCTCAATTATCACCCCATAGTCGACGCTCACTGTCCGATTCATTGGTGTCGCTTTTCCAGGACGGAGATCAATTAGACGGAAAAGAGTTCCGTTATCGACTGTGATTCCCGGAGGTTGGTGTAGGAACTCGTCGTACTGGGCAACATCCGCCTCAGCATCAACCGAGGCTGGCATATTGGTTGTAGCGTATAACAGGGCAATCTCGCCATCTTCCCCGGTCGGTGTGGACGGGAGGTAGTCGGGAACTTGCGCATGGGAAAGAAATATTGATTCGCCGTCGGTATTGTGGGTGGTGATGTAGCGGCGGATATAGGGAAGGGGGTTTCTCTCGTAAGGGGACATTATGACCTGATAGGGATGGAGTTTGAGAAAGAGAAGGGCAGTATTAGGTCTCAAAAGTTCGCGAGGTTGAAGTTGAGAAGTTGTGAATAGCCTTGACGAAATGCTGTCACATCATGGTGGTATCATTTTATAGATCAATGCCCATGGTTAAGCATAATTCTGTCCCAGGGTTGAGCGAAAGTATGTATGGTGTAGGTCTTTTATGAGCTTGCAGGGCCCTTCGCTATCATCTGCCCAAATTTGTTGTTCAAATGGTTCTCCAACATACGTTTGTGCCCATCCGACACCTTCATCTTGTCCCTCATGCTACTCGCCAATTTCTCAATGCACTCATCTAGGCTAGGGCCACCCTCAAATATTTCCACGTCCTTTTTAGCAGAGATTGCTTCCTCCCAAAGATCGTTCAAGTCCTCTTCCCACCCAAGTGCAACAGCTAATTGACGAACACCGTCGTCGCAACTTCCGAGGATGCACACATCCTGGTCTCGATTACCCAGATCTCCTGCCTTTTCATTGTTGATCAACACCCGAGGAATCCCCTCTTTTACTAGACCTGGTAGCCTAGAGCAAGGTGCCACACGCAAACTAGTTCCCATTACAAGCATCAGATCTGCTTCGAGGACTTCCTTCTCCTTTTCATCAAACTCAGCCGGCAGAGATTGTCCAAAGAATACAACATCTGGCTTGACCGCACTCCCACACCCGGTCTCCAGACAATAGGGCACTTCACCAGCTAGAATCGCTTTGTTCATGAGGTCGTCAGGATATGGCGAATTGCACTTATAGCAATGTTGGCTCTTCCAGTTTCCATGAGCCCAGAGAACCTTGTCAGGTGGAACCCCAGCATCTTGCTCAAGTCCATCGATATTTTGAGTGAAAAGAAAATGGAGTAGATTCTTCTTTGCCAACAGTGCTAGAAATGCATGTGTGACAGTCGGTTTGAGATTTCCTGGGTGACGCGCCCGGGCGATTGCGTAGAATGGCTCAGGTGTGTGGGAGAAATAGTTGATGTGAAAAATTGCCTCTGGGTATGGGAGGCGCAGTGGAGCGAGCTTATCATACAGGCCTGTGTTTGGAGATCTGAAATCTGGGATTCCGGCGCCAGTGCTGATTCCAGCGCCAGTCAAGACCACAATTCGCGTGACTTTTCCAGTCTTGATGCGGTCGACCATTGATTGAATGTCGGTTTTTATACTGGCCTTTGTATGATCTGGGGCGTTATCGGGCATGTCTTCAAGTTTGGGTATTGTTTGGTCTGGGTGATGGTTGGACGTAAAATGATTGTTTTGATTTTGGAGTATGAGGGGTACCTGTCGGCGCCTTACTGCCTTAGGTTCCTAACAGAGCCGCATGATCGACCAAATTATACATGTCACATGTTCATCGTCCACTCAGTCAGACAGTCTATTACTCGCTTGGGAAACTAACATTTGTCAACTCGGTAAGCAAGTCTGTCCAGTCTGGTGTGCTCAGCTCAACATTAGCACTGCTCTCTAACATCTCCGCCCATAAGTCTTCAAGAGGCAATGGACTAAGCAATGAATACTCTGAAGGGTACACCGTCGATTGACCATTGGAAATTTCTGAAGGAAATGTGACGCTCTTGGGATCCAATGAAGCAGGCGTGGGGATACCCGGCTGTGAGGCATTGAGAGTTGCAGAATTTGAATTCGAAGATACAGAAGGCTCCTGCAAGTCGCGAGAGCTTACTCTTTTTTCGTGTTTCCAATGTTTTCGTAAGATTCCCATCATAGCCTTGATTCCTTCACGCGCGATGGGTGAGGATTGTTGTGCCCGGCTGAGCATCCGACAGGCGTCGAGTACTTCCTCTTTTCGCTTCTCGGCTAAAATGTCATCCCAGTTGAAACAAACATCTATTAGAAGAATGGCAGCTGCCATGAACACGTGGTGCATGACTGCCCATATAACTGAGCTGTGCGGTGTGAACACAGGGTCTTCCTCATCCATGATGCGTTTCACTTCAAGCACCTTGCGCGCAGATCGAAGAGCTACGACATGCGAATAGGAATATTTGGGATCCTTTGCTCCACGCACCAAGTAGTGGCGATGCAACCGACAGAGCCGTGAATGGTAGCCCTGTTGCACCAGAGCTCGCTGCCATGCAAGAGTTGGTCGCTCACGATATAGGGCTGAGTATTCACGCCGAGAGGTTTGATCAAAGCGAAAGAAACTGGGAAGCTCGGCGCATATCTTGTGAAGCTTTTGATCGAGCTCAAGTATCTTCTCATAGGGTACCTCTTGTTCATGGAAATGGTAGTATGCCATTTCGTCCACTATTTGGCGACACACAACAGCCAACTTCGACCGACATAGACTGTATGTCATTGCGGTAGGAGTAGACAGAGGAACACCGTTCTCGCTATGGTCAATGTCCTCATCCTCAACATTAAGAGGCTGTTGTACAACCATATGCTCAGGATGGATCGAATAAGTCCACTCTTGTGGTCCGCTCAAAAAGCCTATCAACCTTCAAACATTATCAGTCATAGTACCAGCAAGGTATCTGCTAACAACGTACCAGTCGTATGTTGCCAAGTCCCACCACAGCCGTCGTTTGAGTTCAACATTGGTTCTGTTAAACTCAGTTGCTGAGCGCTCGGTAACTGCGCGAGGACAATCCACAACATGAAGCCCCATACTGGTGGCTTGGCTCACAAATGACCTATGCACAAATAACGGACTGACGGAGGAGGGTACGTTCATATTGGACAAATGATGACCAATGACCATAGTTGCTTGCAGTCCTTCGAGGCTGGGATAAGGGATATAATTGCTCTGAATCAATGCGGCTCCTGCCAAAAATGTACTTTCCTGACTGAATGGCTCTGCTTGCTCAGGCGATTCTATCAGAAGTTGGTAATACAGGGCGGCAGCAGTGATAGCGAACAGTAGCGCAGTATGGGACAAATTGATAAGCTCATTTCTCGCAACATGCTCGTAGATCGTCTTGATTTGTTGTTCTACATGACTGGGTATGATGAGATGATACTGGCAGTCCAGGTATTTGCAATAATACCGAAATAGACTCAGGGCTTCTGCTAGCGGTGGTAGATACGATGGCAGATGGATAGTCGCCGGATTCTCGCGAGATGCGAGCCGTTCGCGCGTCGGAGGAAACCGATCGTCGGGTGTGGTATTTTGGTGTGAAGGCGAGCGGTCCGGTTCCCGGTTCTGGGAGAGCATGGTCCTCAGCGTGGCAGGAACTGCACTCGGAACGCGGTGTCCCATAACGATGGTCTCAAGCCAATCGGCTGTCAAAAGGGACTCGTTTCCATTGTGGCTTTGGGTCTCCGTGTCCTGTCGCGGAGTCCATTGCAAGGTCCGAGGTGGTTCAGACACGCGACTGTGCAACCTGGGCCTCTGATCTGTTTGGGCCATGGATTGCACAGGTGTTGTCCCCGAGCCGTAGCTGCCATAACTGCACTCCAGTCTCCGCGCAGAGCAGCTACTGCATGGAAGCTCTCTGTCGCACTTTAGCTTCTTCTTTCGACAGGACTCGCAGGAAACGGGGTCTTGTCGAGACTGTCTTTTCGAGCCTGGGGTGACGAGTCCAGAATCAGGTCTTCGTTTCATGTTGTGAGTCTCACAGAAAACAGTTCAACGGTAGTTACAACAGCGAAAGCGAAAAGAATTGCGCGATCAGCGTTTGTTTTGCGCAGGAGACAGCGTGTAGTTGTTCGCACGGAGATTCCGCGGACTCTCCGAGACGCTAAACCTAATCCGTCAATTATGTCTCCGGGCATCTACACCAGTAACCCGGAGACTCCGAGCGCTATTCTTTTACTTTGTAAAAGTAATCATTCGACTTCTTATAAGAATCATGGCGTTCTGCAATGCTTTTTCTTCAATTCTAATCCATTGCATTTTCACATTGGTCTGTTCATTTTCCTGGCCTCAAGATTCCCATGACCAGCAAAATGTCACCAAAGGATAGTCCTCCCACTGAATACACGTACGTGAAATATGCTTCAAGTTAAAATATAGCTGACCGCTGACTATTCTAGACCACGAGCATGGCTTTCAATAATCGGCGCCTTCACATGTGCTTTTTGCACAGTGGGCTTTATGAACTCATTCGGTGTCTTCCAAGAGTATTACGCAAAAGATCAGCTATCTTCAAGCTCGACATCTACCGTCGCATGGATTGGGGCTATTTCAATATTCTTTCTGTTTGCTACATCTGTTGGCGCGGGAGCAATGCTTGATATCTTTGGACCAAAAGTATGGATACTCTTCCTGAATCATTGGGAGAGAAACTAATACTTCCTTTGAACAGCTTATGGTATATGTTGGCTCATCCGGATGTGTCTTTGCGCTTATGATGACTTCGCTGTGTCAGGAGTTCTATCAATTCCTGCTCGCCCAGGGTGTCGTGCTTGGTATTTCCATGGGCTTGGCGATATGGCCAATGCTCGTATTGGTCGGACAATATATCAAAGTCAAGCGCGCTGCGGCGATGGGGATTGTTCTTGCGGGTTCGTCACTCGGCGGAGTTGTCTGGCCCATTGCAATCGATAGATTGATCAACAAACCCAGCATCGGGTTTCCCTGGACGATGCGAATTGTCGGCTTTATCATGATTCCTTGCTTCATCTTTTCTTGTGCAGCTGCCAAATCTCCAGATACACCTAAAGCGAATGCGGAAAGTCGCGATTCAAACCAGCAAAATGATGAAAATGCCACTGAACAAAAGGACATACCGCAGAGTCACAAGGCAGAGGCTTTGGCCCTTATGCGCAAGCCATCGTTGCAGCTACTGTGCCTTGCGATGTTCATGATATATTTTGGCATGTTCTCGCCGTTCTTCTACACAACGTCCTACGCAGTTGAGAAAGGATTCTCTACTTCTTTGGCATTTTATACTGTTTCCATTGTGAATGCCGCTTCGTTCCCCGGCCGAGTCCTCTCTGGCATTGTTGCTGATAAGTACGGAAAATTCAACTGTTGCATCATTGCCACTATATCCGCAGGGATTGTTGCATTGTGCTGGACCAAGGTGACATCTGTGGCCGGTCTGGTGATTTGGTGCGCTGCTTACGGCTTTGCTTCTGGAGTGAGTTATCCACAAATGATAAACCTTCAAACACTGACGAGAATTATAGGGCATTCTATCTCTCCAGCAAGCTTGTGCTGCTCAGGTTGCTACTTCTACGACTCTTGGTTTGGCAATCGGGACTGTGACAGGCTCCACAGCTCTATCGTATGACCACCATTTCTTGAAAGAATCATGTGAGATGCTGACACGAATCGCAGTGCTATGGCAAATGTGCCCATTAGTGGTGCTCTAGTTGAAAAATATGGGTATCTTTCCCTGTCAATATATTCAGGGGTCACCTTGCTACTGGGTGGTCTCCTTTTGATTGCCGCGCGTCTGGTACAGAACAGAGAGCTTCGGGCTATCATCTAATGCTTGGCCATTATGGGAAGCTTTTGTTGGTATGTGATATCAGTTGGTGACGTTAGCCGACTTGTGATGCAGAATGATTCTTCGAGGAAGTCCTTGCACAGCTTCTTCTGTGAATGATGGATTTAGTACAACATTAGCCCGCCAGCTGGACAGGGCCGTTGGACACCTGTCAATCTTGCTCAGACAGGCTATAGCGCGAGGTTGTGTTATTTGAAGATAGATTCCGATTTAGGTCTAATATTGGCGCCCTAGTTTTGTCGGGTTAGTTGCACTATGATACCTTTTATTGCTCGCCAATACATATTTTCTGTACATCACCTACCTATCTTATTGCCTAGTATTGTACAGTCATAGTGGAATTCCTAAGACAGCCCAAATGGATTCTCATATGCTGTCACTGTCGCAGCTAGGACAGTTGCTGGTACTCCAAATAGCAGTGTTCGAATTTCGTGGTTGGAATCCCACTTATATACATAGAACACAGAACCCATATATACAAAGAACAAAGACAAGTTTCAGCATTCACAAGTGCTCCCGGTCTTCTAAGCAATTGTCAAATGTCGTTTAGCCCGAGGTAACGTGAAGCGGACCGTTGCCGTCATCAACAGGACAGCCATCACTGTCAGAATCAAATTCAACCACACAACTCGAGTCCTGACCAATAGCAATACCAATGAAAGTTGTATCCGTCTGTCCCTTGGAACTACCGAGACTGTTTCCATCCCCGTCCTTAACCTCACAAGTGTCAGGGTGACCAGCGAAGTCCGCCTCGCACTTAAACTTGCGTGGGGTCGCCCAGCAGTCTCCCTCGATGGTGAACTCGCGGCCGTCGCCGGTGTTGTAACAGGGAGCGTGATCGTCGGGATAGGCCTGGTCGTAAACAGCTTCACCAGCCTCATTCAGGATCGCGAAGCCTGTGTAGTGGCCATTGGTATTACCGCCGGCGGGACCGGAGATAGTTGAAAAGTCACCGTTTGACCAGACGACCTTCAAGCGCTCGGCGTAGACGGTTGTAGAGGTAGCCATTAGGCAAAGAAGCATGTTGCGGAGAGAAGGCATGTTTATTTTATGGAATTGAGATTTCAGGGTTGAAGGTATCAAGGAGTTTGATGTTGTTGGTGTTCTTCTCTTGTCGGTGGCATTCAGCGGTCCTTTATACTTGCCCCGAGTTACCTTCACACCCCCGAGGTGGCTCCTTTTACCCTTATTAGATGACATAATGAGACAATTTAAAATGTTCAGTGTCACTGAGCATATTCCAATTGAGGCAATTTGAATAGAATATCTGGAGTTGCTGCGTTGGTGGCTGTCGATGGGGCAGCCTGGTAAGGCATTGATAGCCGTGTGTCCCTTGGCTGCAGACAAATTATCCCGCAAAAGGATATATTGTAGACATTGTACTGAGTGATTTATTGGCTCCAAATGTCGGGGGGCTTAAATGTGGAGTCAAGCCGTGCAAGTCTGGGTTTCAGATCGTCAAGCTGAAGTGGATAACTGTACAAGCTAACAATGCGATCTACATGGTGATTTGGCGTGGGCTCTTCAACGTCTCTCTCGCCCCCAACAAAGTGTCAGCACTACTGGACGCTAAAGATGGCCAAGTCCAATTTCTTGTTTTTCTTTTAGGCGAAGAGCCTTGCCATGGCGTTATTACCTTGCCCCGTTGGATTTCGGTTTCAATTTCCTCTTAAACGGCTTCTTTCGTGAACTTTAAAATAGTTTTTCTTCGAACTATATACGGAGTACCCTAGGCTCAGGTTGCCGGTGCACAATGCAGTGGCAAAGGCTTTCCTACTACACTCACATTTGAAAATCACACCACGTAGACCTCTCCTAACAGTTATATTCTTAAAATCCCGTATTTGATCAATGTAAAGCACTATATTCATGTATTATAATATTAGGTAACGTGGAGGAGAACAGTAGATATATTAAAAAAAAGATGACAAACCCAGCCAAAGAATGCGAAACTTCTCAACAGCGACTTGCGGTCCTCGGGGTTCGAACCCTTGGTGTGCGAACACAAAAGTTCATTCTAGATCAGGTGTGACTCGTGGTCGACATCCCAACTAGACTACACAGGTTTCTGCGGTTACCAACCACAACACTGATTTTGATATTTAATCAACACTCAGGCAACCAGGCAACCAGGCACCCAGGCACTCAGACACCTAGTTCCTATATGTATATTGTTAAGGTGAACACCAAACAGAACGTCATATTATTAAAATCCCTTACTTGACCAAAGTATATAGGCCAGAGAGAGAAGAAAGGTTGACTCCTACATATCTGTAGGGAGAGCTAGAGCTACTTATGTGGAGTGACAGCCTGTATGGTTCATCTATGATTTCTACTGCCTTCGTATATAACTATTTAGAAAGACATCTGAAAAGAACATCTAAAACCCATCGCTATGTTCTTATATATCACACCCGTAATATCATGAACCAATTAGAAATTATTATAGTCTTACTTTCACAGAGAGAAAGGCCGTATGGGCGGCCGACTATGGGTTTGTCTGTTTTGTCTACATGTATATATACAAAAACTGCATTAGAGACTCTCGCCGAGGCCATTCAACAACGGAGTGTCGTTCACTTTCTTTGTGGCCAGGCGTCATACAGTCCCTCGAAGACCGTCACATTACTAAATGTCGCCTCTCCGACGCCATTGTGGAAGAAGTTAATACCAGTCGAGTTGGTGTACCAAGACCTGCATGTTGTTAGTTGTTGACCAATCTTACAGAAAGAAAAATGAGAAACTTACCGAGCCCAAGTGCCTAGAGCCAATCGTCCATTGGCATAGACTTCCAGCATACCATTATCCACCACGACGGTGAGCTCCAAAGTCTCAATCTTTTCCTTTCCATTTTCCAAGACATCAAAGAGACGAAGACGGCCCGCCTCATTGTCACTGAGAATTCCATTAGTTGTCTTCGACGCGGCACTTGTGTTGCTGCGGTCGATGATGATGGACTCGTTGGAGAATTGGTAGTAGATAGTGGTAGACTCAAGACCAGAGGCCAAGACCTGGAAACCAGCTTGAATACCAGAGTCACGGGCGGAGGCCGGGAAAGAGATATTCGCTGTCATAGCGAAGAACTTGGTTGAGGGTGAGGTGTTGAAAGGCACGGAACCAGCCTTGGACAAGGTCTTACCAGACTCGACAACCGAAGGACCGGATGTAAGAGCGCTGTAAGTCTCCCTGGCAATTGAGATTCCCATTGTCTCGAGATCGACCTCACCAGATCCTTCGCGGGCCACACGCCACGATGTCAAGGACTCGCGGGAAAGCTCGTTGTCAACCACGTTGGGGATAGTGCGGATATTCAGCTCACGCGGCAACAAGAGAACACCGGTCCAGTTTTGTTGAGCAGTGGGGAATCCCTTCGCTAGCTCGAATAGATCTCCGGTGAGCCAGACGTAGGAGATGAAACGATCGGGGGCACCGCTCTTTTTGGATGCCTGAGAGCTGGCTGGTAAGACTTTGCCTGCTGCAGCATAGGCCGACAGACCCCAGTCAAGCACACCTGCCATGGTTGGCTTAAAGGTGACGGAGTCGTCGTTAGTGACATTTCCAGCCACCCACAGCATATCGTGGATGGAAGAGACCTGGGGAACGATGGGGAGCGTGGAGCCCTCAGTACCGAGGGTAATGAAGATTTCACCATCATCGCTGTATCCCTCTGCATTCAGACCGAAGACATTGCCAACCTCGAAGTTGAAGCCCCAGCCGCCGGCCCAGTCACCCTTGCCCCAACTTGTGTTGACGGGCTCATTCCACCATTGGCCAAGATATTCCCAGTACTGGAAGTCTGCGTCATGCTGACGGTAGAGGAACACGGTAGGTCCGACATCGTGGACACCGCCGGAGATGGCGACATACCAGGTTCCCTTAGTGCTGTTGACCGATTTGTCCAGAATGGAGCTTTGGAAAACGTAGGGGTCACGGAAGGCCGTGACATTGACAGCAAAAGGAGGTGCGGGGATCATGGGGCCTTGGTTGAGCTTAGTGAAGTTGCGTCCACCGTCATGGGAAACGGCCAAGGATTGTGTCTCGCTTCCCCGGGTGTAGGGGATGGACCAGTGGATTGGGAGATACGAGACAGAGGTATACAGCAGGGTTGGCAGACCGTTGATACCGCTGGGAATGACGGAACCGTCAAAGACAGCCAGAGGGTCGTTCTTTCCTCCGGCGATAATGAACGGAGCTCCATCAGGATTGAGGTCCTTGTAGGTAGCGAGATCATCGGTTGTAGCTCCTGCCATTCCGTCGTGCAGCCAACCTACATGGAAGAGACCAGTCTTAGCATCGCTGTATTGCCCGCATGGGTCGCCAATCTTCCCAGATGGAGGGAGGAGATGGGCCTTGGGTCTCCAGGTGTCGAATAGGGTTGCATTCGCCAAGGTAGAAAGATTTGGTGGAGCCGAGTTGTAGTCAATTGGGGAGACAGGAGGGTTGGCAGCCAGTACCCGGTTTGCCAAACCCACGGTCATTACACTTGAGAGCTTCATGGTGTAGATCTTAGATAGCTCCTGGAGCTTTCCCCGGGATATATACAGACTTTTATATGTTTTGACATGCCCAAGATAAATTGACCGAGATTAGATGAAGATAACAGCCAATGAAAATAGCCTCTCGATTCAATATGGATCGAGTTGCGTTGTTCATTTCCTCTTTGGATGTAGTCGGTAGTTTCCGTGACTCGACGGTAAAACCGCGGGGAAACCCCGGGTGACAATTTCGCCGATACAAACAAAACATGCAGGTACAAGGTTCTATGACTCTCTTGGATTTGGGGAATTCTCTATGATTCGGCTCAATTTGGGAGTGTTTCGGCTTGATGGATTGATATAAAAAAAAACCTAGGAATGAAAGATTAAGAGAGGGCGTACAATTTGATAGCTCAATGTTAGGATCGAGGTGTTCGTCTGGGGGATCAATAAAGCCCGAGTCTCCCCACTGTTAGGAGACATCTGCATGTAGCTAGCATCCATAATGCTTAGCTGCATCAATCACGTTGCAGTATCACAAATGACGGGCATGAGACATTCCGAAGTTTCAGCGTGGGAACTCATTTGGACATTTTTATTCTATTTTCTCCATAAACCAAAGGCAATAATGGCCCTGTCGTACGGAGTAGTGGTCTCGGGGATAAAGAGATCCAAGATTCTTACGTATCACATACCTATGTTGTATACAGGTAACATGTGTACCTTCCTCATCGGTCTTCAAGTTATCTGCCCGCCAGCTGTCCGTTGATGTACACGACTGACTACACTATAAGAGAAGGTGAGTAGCCCTCTCTTTCGATAGGGATTGAATCGCGCTAATGTAAAATGTAGACACCCCAAAATAAGAAAACATGCAACGCGTAAATGATCTGGGGGGAAGAAGTGAGGAATAGAATGAATCAAAGGGATGGTGATATATGTAAGCTATAACTATACACTGTGTTGGTTCAAAAGTATTTTTTTATAGACATAAAATAGTAAGCATTCTTCATTGCTTTACGTATCTTTCTATACCAGAGTAACTTTAACTTACTTTCTCTTAGGATTATAATGTCTATATGGATCCAAACCTTCCCGGTTCCAAGTGGTATTACGAGCGCTAGGAGAGGGTATATATAGCCTTGGATATGTTATATTACACATAAATGATAGCATGTCCGCCGCAATATTTATAACTAAATCATTCGCCTAACTCGTAAAAAAGCAATAATTCTCCGGGAAGCCACAACGACTTCCTAGGACTAGTCTAGAATTGATGATGTCGCCTATGGCCCCGCCAATCGGAGACGGAACTTTCACAGTTTCAACTTCCCGGGCACTTGGACACGCAAGACTCCCTGGGTACGGACTAGTCAGCAATCCAGCGTAAACGGCTAGGAACGTAGGAAGATAGTTAACTACCTCTTGGACACATGTGGCCACTAAGATTCCCTTAGGAGACCAAATCCTCTGAATCACCAGCGCACGATCGTTGCCAGCCCACGGGCTCTCTCTTTCGGAACACATCCACTCATCCGCCCGCACCGCTTCGGGGTGGTGGAAGTAAATTGTATGATTCAGACTAGCTGCCATGGCCATGTTAGTCCCGAATGTTTGACCGGACAAGTCGTGTACTTGAACTGCGGCGCCAATAAAATACGCGTCGGACATGTATGCTAGCGCCGCGAGCTGGGCCTGAGGACCCCTTTGCTGGATGGGGTCCTTGGCCCGTACCCAGTATCGAATCTGAGTGTTGACCAGGTCGTGAGATACTTCTATTCATTATATTAGACTCGAATAAATATAAAAGCAAGGAGAAAACAAGCTTCGATCACGGTTAGGGTTAGGGAAAGACTTACGATCCAAGATTTCCCCCCAGCGAGCCTCAAACGGCCCATCCACCCCCTTCCCATTCATCTCTGCTTGATCGGGTAGTGTCAAGCCCTTGGGCATTTTTCTCCCATGTTCGAGTTTCCCTGTCTTGTCGATGTCATCCTTATTACTGTACGTTCCCACCCGCACAAAGTTAACAATTGCCTCGGAGATCACACCGGCCTTCTGGGTGGCGTGGACAGTCCTCGTAATGAAACTTCTCCCATCGCGTGTACGTTCAACACGATATTCAATCGGTCGCTTTGGATTACCGGGGCTGACGAAGGCGCAGTGGAGAGAGTGGGCGACATAGTCACTCGGGATGGTCTTTTGAGCGGCCACAAGACAATGGGCAACAGTTGATCCGCCGTAGACTCCATAGCCGCCCGCGAAGCTCCACAGCGGTTGAGCGTTAATGAAGTTATCCTGAAGAAATTAACTACTTTTTAGAGACAGATGACCAAGTAAAAAGCAAAAGAAATCAATCGAAGAAAGGGGCATACCGGTTTCGAAGACACTGGCGTCAGTTCGACAGCCTTTTCAATAGGAATTGTGTATTTCTCCATTGTTGATTCGACGAATGTGCTACTCAAATCTGAGAGTTCTTGGCCATTATAAAGGGGGTGGAGGAATAGCCGGAGAACCGTAAGAGTCCCGCAACATGTGACCGCGAGCCCTAATCCCTGTAATATTCGCTCCTACAGGATTACACTAACCCTTATTTATCTAGCTGAGCCAGATGGCATCCAACTATCTAATTTCCCTCTATCGTCCGTCATAGCCCACGCTGCTAGGCGCGAACGACATGTAGAGGAAGGATATCGACGGAGTGGCGGTAAGTTGGTAACCTACGAGATCCGGTCGACATGGAAAAAAGAGAAAGATTTAAGTCTTGGGAGAAAGAAAGAACGAGAGGAAGAGCAATCCTGGGACGGAGCGAATATCCTATCCGCCTTAGGCAGGAAGGTTGTTGTCGTTTGATCCTTTCGATATATAAGCAGATATGGGGTCACAACTAGTATTTCCACTCACACAATGCGACCCCCCTGCTGCTGTCCCCCCCTAAACTATTCTACTCCATCGGCTTTCGCGCAAATAAATTCATGATATGGTCACTACCACAAACAACAGCAACATCCAAACTAGTCCGCTGGCGTGCATCCTCAGCCAAAGGGTCAAGTCCCCGATCCATCAGAATCTGGAATCGCCGGACCAGATTGTGAGAGGATTTCTCAGCGCGCCAGTCACTTACCTTCTTAGAGGCCAACACATGGAGCAATGAAGAGCCTGCATTGTTTTGTGCGAAGAAGTCAGCTCCAGCCTCGTCGAAGAGGTCGAAGATGGCTCGGGTGAGGTCATCCTCCTCTTCATAAGAATCGTCATCACAGTAGCTCCCAGAAGCTACAACACCACTCTCAATAAATTTGAAAAGAGGTGTGTCGCCCTGGTTGTTACGAGAGTTGATATCTATGCCCGCTTCTAGGAATCGCTTGAAGTGAGCCTGGGTCTTGTCGAGGTGCTCAGCCAAGTGATGAAGCGCCGTGTTTCCATTCGGGTCTGGCTGGAGAGGATTAGCACCCAGTTCGAGAAGATCATCGATAAGATCGAAGTCTTCTAAAATCAGGATGCGGTGAAAGAAATTTTCACCCTTCTTATTCCGCTGATTGAGAAGCCCCGGATTCTTGATGATAACTTCCTTGAGAGTTTTGAAAAACTCTGAGTCGGCCTCGAAGGATTCTAGATGGTGGAGGATGGTATTGCCATCGTTGTCCTGTGCCATGACATTTGCGCCACGGTCTATGAGCTCTTGGAAAATTGTTTTCGTAATGGTTGTCCCAGCTTCAATAACATCGACCTTGGTGTTCAGTGTATTCTCGCTCTGGGAAGCTGCAAGAAGCAATGTGCAACCGCTTGAATCCCGCCGCTCAAGCTCTAACGATGGTAATTGAAAGAATGGCCCACTTATGTGATCTGATTTCAGAATTTCATGGATGATAGTGTGTCTTTGGGGTTCAATCCGTGGGTGCGAGATATCAGGCCCACCCAGGTTTGAGTATGTTGCCTTCATGTAGAATGCTGGACATGGGAGCTCCCCGACATATGTGCCAAATGGATCTGCGCCGTGATTGAGTAGTATTGTCATGATACGGGCGTCGAGTAAATCCTCATCCACATTCGAGCGAGATGGTGGCTTACTATAGTAATACTTGATGGACCGCAGTTTAGGTATGGCGACAGAGAGAAGAGGCGAGACCTCGGAATCAAGAATACTGAGCTCGAGTTCGCTTTCTTCCCGAGGGGTAACTGGGTCAGGTCGTCTGAGATTTGCGTAATCACCCTGTGACAGCAATGTTTCCAATATCTCAATTTCGCCCATTGCAATCGCAGAGAAAATGGCCGCTGCACTAATATGGGCGCCGTGATCCATGAGTAGCCTGGTCATCTCTAGATCATTACCGGCTTTTGACAAACATGTCTCTCCCTTGTCATCCACGGCATTGACATCTGCGCCGCACTCAATGAGAACCTCCACGGCATCTCTGCGGAAGGGACCATGTTTGGGATTCATGGCTGCATGTAATGGTGTCTCTCCATCCTCACTACGCAGCTCAAGATCTGCCCCCTTTTTGATCAAATACGGCAATGCTTTGTAAACTTGCCACCAACTGCGCCCGACCGCGAGCTTATGAAGGGCCCCTCCGGCCGTTTTCGTACCCTCCCATACTGGGCTGCTTCTGAATTGGGCGTTAAGGTTGACGCCGACCTTCTCAACAAGGAATTCCACCACATCCATATTGGGCAAATTGCGCTCACATGCAGTCACCAGCAGAGGCTGCGTAGATCCCACAACGCATTCTTGTTCCTTTTCTGCCTCTCGACACCATTTGTGGTCATCAAACCTTAGTGCGGCATCCTTATCACAAACACGTTCCAGCAGCTCTTTATATCCCCAGCCCACAAGACGATGCATTAAAGAGGCATCGGAGCGACTGAGTTTGGAGACACTAAGCTTCTTCCCTGCTCCCTCTTCAAACAGGTCGTACTGCCTGGCGAACATTAACTTTGTCATAAAGGAGGTGTAATCATGTCCAGTGAATAATGTAGGGTCACGTCCGTCGTGCTCTCTAAACGCTTGTTTTGTCGCATCCAGACGGCCTTTGCAAATGAGATAGCTGAGCCCATAGGGGTGATATGATTTCACGTCAGGAAGGCGAGATTGCAATCGTGAGAGAGCATCCAGAGTGTATTCGTACCGATTCGAAATGGCTTCATCAAACGTCCTTTGGAGACAATCCTTACCGGGAGAGAGGGCTCCATGACGAACAAGTAAATCGAGAATCTCATCCAGGCGAACTGTATCATGCTCCGTATCCTGCCCGTAATTAACATCCCTATTGGGGGATCAAAGAACGGCCGTTGGTGATCGCTCACTAGGATGCCGGCGGCATGGAGGTAGTCCCTCCGCACTACCTTCCTATAACCGCTCCATAGTTGTTCTTCTGTCTCAAACTGCGCACATGCTCTGAAAGGTGAACGATCTCCACTGTCCAGTATGGTGGGATCGGCGCCGGCTTCGAGCAATTCTTGGACGGTCTCAGGGCGACCCGAACGGCAAGCATAGTGGAGGGCTGTTTCCCCTTTGGTGGTCTGTTGGTTCACAAATGCAGCTCGAACTTCCGCCCCGAGTGCTATAAGCCTAGAGCAGAAGAGAGCCACAATATTGGGCTGGCGGGTGCGAGCTGCTATATGGAGCACCGACATTCCTTCGTTTGTTACTTTGAACATGTCTGCACCGGCACTGAGAAGCTTCAGGACATGGGACTCGGATATTGTGGCGGCGAGGTGCAGGGGCTGAACACCGTGACAATCACTAGAGTTCACGCTCTTGCAGACTCCAAGCAGATAATCCAGGCCATCTTCTTCTTCTGACGAGGATGAAAGCTTGAACACAGCACACAGGGCATGAAGAGCGGTCCTCCCACGATGGTTTGCTTGATCTATGTCCAAACCCAGTGCTACCAGATGTTTCATGATAGCAGGCTGTTTGCAGTTCTTGGTAGCGGCAACTTCCATCATAAGGGAGTTCCCTTGATGATCTGTGGCCAAAGGATCTAGGCCGAGGCTTATCAGATAGTCCAAGCGATCGGTGTTTGTGCAACAGCGATGCAACAGAGTTCGGCCAGTAGAGTCCCGCGTATCGAGGCGAGCGCCCAGATCAATCAATGTCTGAAAGGGCTCATCGTTTGCATGTTTGAAAAGAACTGTATAGCCATCGTGATTTCGAGCTTCGAGGTCTGCACCAGCATCAACGAACTTGGAAATGAATGGGCTATGTTGACCATTCATGGTGTGCAACGGGGTATTTCCTTCATTGTTCATCGCATTTGGATTGGCGCCCAGAGATATCAAGGCATCGATAACACCACCGTGAGCCTTATAGTCCGCGAGAACCTTGTGTAGCGGACCATTGCCCGAGATGTCAGCGATATTGACATCAGGCTTATACTCCAAGAATGCAAAAACTCGGTCCATATGAAAGCCCTGAAGCCGAAATAACAATGGGGTCATTTTAGTTTTCCCAATGGCCTTGTTGATATCGACTGTTCCTGTGCCCAAAAGCACGGGAAGCAGTTCTTCGTCTCTATTTCCTTCTGTGTGTAATGGTGTAGCCCCGGAATCGTCTTCTGCCGTAGGATCTGCCCCAGCTTCGAGTAACATCTTGACCACATCCGCTTGGTGGTAATCGCAGGCATAGTGCAGGGCCGTTACGCCGGCAGGACTTCGTACATGAACATTGGCCCCTGCCTGAAGCAGAGAATCCACGCTCGCTGACGAGACAGTGCCTCTTCTCTTGCCGTATCCACAAAGTGCATGTAATGCGGTATTCCCCCTTGTAGGATCTTGATCCGTATCATTGTCTGACCTGAGCATGTACCTAGGAAACATTTTTCTTGTGTGTGCACACAATATGTTTGGATCGGCTCCCGCTCGCAATAATGCACGAATGGTGTTTACATCTCCGCGACCGCGACAAGCTGCAAAGAGAGCAGTCGCCCCTCGGCATGTCCCGTTCACATCAACACCTGGATGTTGAATGATCAACTCAACCACTGCACATTGCCCCGCATTCGCCGCCCAGCAAAGGGCTTGCTGACATGTGTGAATGCTTTTCAAAAAAGGTAGGAACTCGGCTACCGTCTCCACATGGCCATTATCACATGCGTACATGAGAGGTGTATTTCCGCGTGATGTAGGTGCGTTCCCACACCTCATTCCGGGTTCCTCTTTCGTCTTGGGGGTGAGCGGGTCAACGCCAGCAGTAAGCAAAAGTTTAGCCACTGCAGCGTGATTCTTTTTAGCTGCCATATGCAGTGCGTTGTATCCTTCCTTATGTTCTGCGTTGGGGTCGGCTCCGTTGGCAAGCAAAACCTGTACCACGTCGTCGTGGCCGGAAGTGGCAGCCCAGTATAAGGCTGTATTTTCGCAAGCATCTCGCGTTTCTATGGTATCTCCTCTTTCAAGCAAGTGTGCGGCGTATCCAGCCAAGCCAGCCCACGCAGCGACATGAAGCGTGGTGATGCCCCGGGTTTCAGCTTTAGGCCATGCCAAAACTCGCCAAGTGGTAAACTCCCGCCTTTTCGCAAAGAAACCATCAAGCATAGTGTAGACGAGTGCCATATCTTCACCCGCTGAAACTGCACGACGGATGTGAATATACCAATTATGCGCTGCATATTCTAGGAACGGGAACCGGAGCTTCAGTTCTCGTAGCTCGTCGCCTTTAGGGTTTACATATTCCCATTTGTCGGTAGTATCCTTCATTTGGTGATCGACTAGGCAGCCAGACATGAGATACTCCAGGCACGCAATAGCCAGGCATTTGTTCGTTGAGCCCGGTTGAAGGATCGGATATGTCGTATCATCCGACTCGCTTGAACGAGTGAATCCTTTCAAGAACTCAGTGAATGAGTGGTGAACGACCGAGATCGTCTCATCAGGGAGAATTTCGAGCAGCGGGCCACAAGCGGCTCGCACCAAGTCTTTTGTATCTTTCAGACTGCGATCTGTAGTTGGACCTTGGACGCTTTTCACCATTTCAGCGATCTCGAGAATACGGAGTGGGCGTGTGGCATGGGTGACAAACTGCAACACAAGAAATTGCAAATCTTCGGGAACAGCCGAGCGTATTGCATGCTCGTGCAACAGATTATTGTACATGACGTTCAGGTCAGCCGGCAATGCCTTGAGCACCTCATTTGCGTCGGCACCTGGCTCAAGAAATGCATCCATTGAAAGCTTGGCGTATAAGAACAGCCCATTCGCCCGACCAGGAATGGCTTCCTCTATGACACTCCAGGATTCAGGGGCGATCGATGAGTGACGAAGTTTGTATTGTACATAGGCTGCGATGTCGAGATCGACGCGTTTCTCTTCCAGTCGAATCTGGGGAATGGAGAATAACCTCAAAGAATTCTCTACTATTGATACTGGGCGCGACGTGATGAAAACCTTGACATTAGACGGGCGCCACTGGCCCAAATCCACCAAAGCGTGGAGGAACTCATCATTCCCCTGGTCCATCTCATCCAAAGCGTCTGTGACACAGTAGACCTTGGGGAATGTGGCCAGTGCTAGCTTCAGGTCTTTCCAGAGATCGGTTGGGGACAAGCTGTCCAAATCACGGTAGTCGTCAATATAATTCTTCAGCTTGACTTGCAGGGCAGGGCTGTAATCCAAAAGTTGACATAACCAATCCCGCAGAGCAGACACTGGCTGATGGTTGGCATCGATGATCTGTCTGAAAAAGAAATATATGACAGGAATGCCATCCTTTTGTAACTGATTGATGATTGAAGCAGCTAGGACAGACTTGCCGGAGCCTGGGATACCTTTGACCCACAACAGCCCACCTTCGTCGCCTTGGTCCCACTGTTGAAATGTTGTTGTAGAGGTGAGCCACTTTCCCGTTCCCGCAAGGTATGAGAGACGATGTCTAGAGTATTCACTTCTCTCTAGGTTATATGCGGTTGGCTGAAGCCATTTCCTGATCTCAACAATGTCGGCGGGAGGGAGAGGAAGGATGTTGTCCACGTTGAAGTCACGAACATCATCTAGGCCAACCATAATGGCATCATTTCCATCAGTGTCTGGAAAGGACATCACGCTTAATGTCCGCTTGCGAACAATGTTTGTAGAAGTTGGAAAGTCAGCAAAGGTTGGGGCCTAATGACATAAAGCTTTAGCCCCGCTTTAGCTTGGGATTTGGGGCTGGCATATTGCCAAGCCTCGCAAGGCGCACAGGCAGCAGAATGCACGCGTCCATATCTGGGACTTTCCGCGAGCGTGACATGTGCGACCAGGCGAGGGCATGATAGCGGCAACTGGCAATGGGGCCCGATACGTGGGATTCAATCGAGTAGTTGCCTAGGTTGCATATGGGAGAAAATTTCTGCGCAGGATGGGAAAGCAAACACGGAGAGTTGAGATGTTGACATGCTGACCGAGAGAACGGGGGAGAGTGAGCACTGAGGAGCAAGAGGTTATGGGATTGATGCCTCAGGCAGAAATTATGTCTTAGAATGAGTCCGAGATTCCACGAGCGTTTTGGTTCAGCTTATCCAGCAAGGATCTACCTATACCCAATCTATGGCATGACGACAAAATCATGGATTCTAAAATATCCTGACAGCGGAACCCCAAAGCATCAAAAACTGGTATTGTTCAATTGCAAGATCCATATACACATTCAATCATAACAGAAACCAAGAAACCTAAATCATATCCGAAGAGTACAAGCGAATAGGCACTCCGAAATAATGCGACATCGTCAGATTGGATAGTTTAATAGGCTCCTGACGAGGATGGGTGTCCGCATTTTCGAGCGTATCGAAGTGCTGCATCAGACGAACGACGGTGTAGCTTGCCTCAGTGAGAGCATATTGTTCTAGGAGATTGGTAGTTAGCCAGTCATTCGGGGTGTATTCTTCAATTTCTTCTGTCTGGAAAAAGACAAGAACATGCAACAACTTACGACCAAGACAGATACGCGGCCCACCATTGAAAGGCAGGTATTCCCAGCCATGCTTAGCATTTTCCTCCCAGCGCTCCGGCCGGAAGGAAGTCGCATCCTTACCCCATAGATCCGTCCGGCGGTGCATAGCGTAGACGCTGTAGGCAACCATCGTACCCTTTTTGATATAAACCGGGGATTGGTAGTCCGCACCACCGCCGACCGGTAGGGAGGTATCTTTGGTTGCAACGCGGAAGTTCATAGGCACAGGAGGCTGGAGACGAAGGACTGGATTGAAGTTAGTTGGGCATGTCTCTATTGACGGGGTAAACAGTATCCACGGAAACATCGACACACCTTCATTCAACACATATCGCAGATAAGGGATATCTTTCAACTTGGTCTGAGTCATTTCCGACCGTGGGTTCTTTGCGTCTCCGAAGATTTCCACAATCTCACGACGCAGTCGGCTCCACACATTGGGGTGACGGGAAAGATAGAAGAAAGTCGAGCTCAGGAGACTAGCCGTGGTATCGCGACCAGCCAATAGAATATTGAGCATATTATCGCGCAGGATCTTGGGGTCATCGCTGTCGGCCGCCAGTGCTTCGAGGAAGATATACCGACCGTCGACGTTCTTCTTTTCGGGGTTACGTTTCGACTCCAGAGCGAGATTGACATAATGATCGACGACTTCGTGCACCTGCCGACTTGCCTCACGGAACTCCTTGGGATTGACAACCCAATACATTCCCTGGGCGCGAGTTCGCGCAGCGAGATAATCCTGAGCGGTTCCAAAGGCATTGGCGAAACCCTGTGCGCTACCAACGGCGCATTTTTCCAGTACGCCTATCTTTCCAGAAGGGGGAAGCATGCAGCCGACCGATTCCCCAAATAGGAAATGCGTTGCCGAGTCCAGGGTCAACAGGAAAAACAAACGTTGGATGTCGAAACTGCTTCTATCCTTGGGGATAAGGTCGATTAAATTGGAGATATGGTCATCCAGCATGGAAATATCGGCGACCTGTCACTTTTGTCAATCAAGTATCGCGTGTATAAATTCTCCGATAAAGTTTACCTGGTCCCTGGTGAACTGCGGGCGCAGTAATCCGCGCGCATGCGACCACCCAGCACCATCGAGGGTGAAGATGCCATCACCCAGGAGTGGGTAGAATTGTTGATGTCTTGTTCCAAGAGAAAAATCTTTGAATTGGGTTGCCAGGATTGCCTTGACATTTTCGGGCTCCCTGGTGGTTATAATATTGCGGGAGAGGAATGTCTGTTTGTAGGTATTTCCATAGACAGTATATTCGTCGTAGAGATGCTCGATCCAGCGCTTTTCGTGGACAGCCTTGGTCAACCGAATAAACCCTGGAATACCGAAGAAGGCTGAGGAGCCTGAACGGGCAGGCTGGCAGTGTAGGGCCTTGGCTTGTGTACGGTGGTGATGTAGCTGGACGAAGTAGCGCACCACCAAGAAGGCTGCAGAAAGCGCACCAACCAGGACAACTGTAGGACTGAACAACATTTTTACGTTAATGGATCTCCATGAATTGAAAGAATAAGCAATTAAATATGTGAAATGGAATTGATCTAATTCGCAAAATATTGTATGTTCATGGCCTCGGTAGAACCCCACGTGAGAGAAAGTGGCATCGCAAGCTGATACAAAAGGGGAATAGGGTTAAACACTATGGGCAAATCATGGAAGTCCAAAGTGAGTCAGATTGCGGCGATCCTTCCAACGTTTCAAGGGTTCCGAGAGCTATTTCAAGGTTTAACGTGTCTTGGCTTTGAAACAACCAAGCCACTCTGTCAGAGCAGTGTGGAAGTAACCCCGGGAAATGGCCCCAGGTACAAAGCCCGTGCGGAAATCAAAGCAGTGCTCCGCCTTCTGCATGATGTAGCCGAAAATCGTATTTTCCTCCGTCTCCACGTTGCACTTGGGGATCTCTGTTGTAAGTGACACACCCTGCGGGGCTAACCGAGTGCCCTCTGCGAGGGGAGACAAAGTACGCCACGGATCAAATTGGCCGCCGCTCCAGTAAACATTGGACGGACGAATAGACCATCCGCCGGTCTCCGCATTGGTCGCTTCGACCAGCGGATGTTTGGGGAACAGACCTTTCTTGATAGCTTCGGGGAAGGCCTTGTTGCAGTATTCCTGCGCATACTCGAGTGTCTGGTATTTTGACAGCAGCGAGCGAGGTCCGAAGTTGTTGGTCTGGAAGTATCCCCATTCGGTGCAGTACTGCCATGTCCAGCTGATGGAGTCCGGCTCGGATGAAGGCTGAGACAAATCGCACGAGAGAGGCTCGCTGGCTTCGAGCTTCTTGCAGTTCGTGTTCGAATTCATATTGACAAGTTGTGTGAAAGCCGGCCATGATGCATAGCGCGCCGCAGCATACTTCTTGCCTCGGCTGTGGGCGAATCCTTGCGCGGGTGCGGTTGTATTAGTCTTCGGGTCAGTCTCCATGTGCTCACAGAATGAGCCCAGACTGCCCGCACCACCGCCCAGGCCATAAGATTGGAAGTAGTTGTAAATAATCGCAAGCGCGGCTGAGAAATCGCCGTTGCTATTTTTCTCGGCGCCTTCGCCAAAGAACTTTTGCTTAATGGACGCCGCGGTCGATTCACTGTGCGATAGTTGCTGGTCGATGTACTCCAGTGCAGCCTGGATGTCCCGGGTGCAGTTCGAGTACCCATACGTGACCAGGCCGTCGTAAACCTGGTCGAAGTAGACGCTCATGTCGATCCGGGCTTCCACGGGAGCGGAGGAAGCGAAGGAGGCGTAAATTGTATCGGGATACAAATGACGGGTGAACGCAGCTCGCATGCCGGAATATGAGCCTCCGACCATGACCCACGGTGTTCCACTTGGGGTCAAGTCCACATCACTGTAACTTTCACGAGTGAAGTTGGCGGCAAAGAACGGGATATCTGCCAGTGCCTGTTTGTTGTTTAGGTACTGGAGATGCTCAGGCTTCATGTGCGGGCTGACGTCGTAGGGAAGAGAATCCCCATAGTATCTAATAGGCGATTAGATTAGTTGAGGTAGTCTTTCACTAGGGAAAGGAAACGAACCGGTGCTCCCAAACGATACCAATTCCACCGAAATCCTTGACCAACTGATAAAAGAACGTAGTCGAATTGCCCAGATAGCTCTGAGCCGATGATTCGGCAGTTCCTTCACCAACATCATACACGAAGACTGGTCCGCCCTCCTTGTAGTTCTCTTCGGATACCCAATAACGGTTCTGGTAATGACCAACCGAAGAGTTGCTGTGGTCAATGGGGAGCTACCAATTGTTAGCATTTCTGTCCTCGACGAATATGGACAATTTCGACACATACCGAAACATATTCTGCCTTAACTATCCCATCAACCTGGCCACTAGCAATAGCCTGCACCGAAGTCTTGTGACGGAGCAGGGTATCTGGATGAATGCCCAGCTCAGCGGAAAGCTTCAGATCACGCTTGAACGGCGATGTTACAATTCCTGCAGCTGCACCAGATAGCGCAGCCAGGAGGGCAGTCCCACGAGCCACGGTAGAAAAATGCATATTGACAGTACCTTAAGGGGTCTCTCAAAAACCCAGCCAAAGACACGGATACAGAACAGCTTTTTGGGTTATCTCCACTGATGGGGCCCTTACTGTATATATATGCATTACGATAGATCGCCATTGGGGAAGTGATCAGACAAATCACGGCGCATTAGGTTATGGCCCCAAGAACAATACGATAAGAACAATATGGTTGCGTTTGGGGCCAGGCCGCAGTCATCTGGAACAGATGGATTGTGGATTCGGGGCACCCGATAGGCTTAACGCGGAGTGGACACAATCACCCGGGCACTGTGAGCACCGGGGGCTGACAAGGCACACCCGAGACATGACTATCGCGCGTGCGGCTTAGTAGGCTGTGATTGTATGACCTTAACACGAGAGGTAGTTTAAGTTGAATGTAACCTATCTTGAATTAATTTAGAGAATTACCCAATTTACCCCCATTTACCCCTCGTTTTTATTGCTATCGACACTTTTCTACGATCTAATCACTGTGCATTGCATTAGTGATGTAGTGCTGCCCGTTAGGTGTCATTATTGACTATCATTTCTCGATTCGGCAGGAATGCGATCGACAGATTCAGCGAACTTCTGAGATTCTGGATGTTTAACAAATTCCATTAATTGAGTCTCTTTTCTAAGGCTGAGACCAACACACTTCCGCATCTGGTTTTACCTAAAAATGGGCACCACGCGAGGCTCTCCTATCCCCGTACGGGAGTACCTGGGGGTGGATCCCGAAAGCAGAAACCGGGTGTGAAATTGAAGTCGACTATTGGTCATTGGGAAAATCAACAGTCAACCGGACTCCGAACAATAGCCCGAACTTAGTATTGTTGTGTTGTAATTGTTTAATTAGATTTCCCGTCTCTCTGCCGATTCAATTCATCTAATCTTCCTAGAATCATGTCTGGGAACGGTGGGAATTGTGGAATGTTGATCCGGAATGTCTACACCAGGTGGGAAAAAAAAGCAAGTTTTGCGCTCACCGTAAAAACATATTTCATTGTGGCTTGAATTGACATGGAAGATTTATTCCACGCGATTTTCTTCGCTTTTCTTCTTCACGGGGTTCCGGGACCGGTGCCCCTCTACTATCTCCCCTCTTTCCCCCTTTTCCCCCTTCAAGTCAGAACGTGGAACGGGTGTCTTGTCAAATATACAAAAGAGCCAAGAATAGGGATATTTGTAGAAGCAATGTTGCTGTGATAGATACTGTGATAGATACTGTGGTTTGATGATATATTTATTACGAGGCTACTAGAGCTGCAGGTACCATATGATATAGCCCTAACGTTGTCGAACGACCTAAGCTTCAGTTTAGAATATTCCAAAGCTTCGATATTCAAGACAAAGTGTGGTATCAATCAAGTCTAGCACATGCTTCTATCAACTCTGTGCAAGGCTGTACAACAGTTCACCCCTTCCCATCTTGTGGCCGTCCAACACGGCGAATCAGGCAAAGGCAAAAGGCACACACATGGTCACATAATTTACTTAAATTTCAACTCATCATTATTCTACGAGTAATTATTTGAGATAAAGCTATACTTGGAGCATATTGTGACGAGAAAATGACAGTCAGGCCACTGTGTGCCCTTAAAGGGAAGGCGAAGCGAGGCATCTCGGCACGCCTTCCGAATATGAGTTGCAGAGTCTTAACGAACTACAACTATTCAAGATATCGTATTTCCTCCATAAAGAGTATCTCGCTCAAGGTTTAAAGACATGAAGTCTAACAGGCCTTCTCACTGTTATCTCTTATTGAATAACTGCTATATCCCATAGAGGCTTCAACGGCAAGGAGCTTATAACCCATTAGAGAGGAGTCTAGGGATGCTGGTAAAATCTCTAAGAATCTCTATATTGCGCTAGAAGAGAAGAAACCATCTTCTAGTATGTGTGCTAGGTCTAAATGTACTAGGAGCAAACAGTGGGAGGTCATGTGGCATTCTAACACGAACTTAGCCACAAATGGCATTAGGTGTGATACCTGGTTTGTGACTTTGCAATTACTACCTAGGTATGTGATAATGTTGAACAGTTGCTGCTGGCAATTACAATAGTAGACCTCTTATCTCCGTTCATCATCTAAATGGGGTTAAAGTAGTGGATCCCCATTAACTCCAACCAATAAAACCTTTTCAAATCCGACTTTTCGTACTATACGCACTAACTGTATATAGTTAGCGCGCTGTCAGCGTCAGCCGCATCTAGGGCACCAACGAGAGTTCCTCTTTCGCGGATTGTATAAGCATTCGGAACGGACTAAACGAATGAGAGGTATATAATTGAGGTCTCCCCTCCTACTCCATTATTCACCTGAATTCCAACAATATCAACAATTCAACAATTTCCAAAATGCACCTTATTCTCACAGGGGCAACCGGGCTAGTCGGGTCTTCAGTGCTCGACGCCATGCTCAAAAACGCAGCAGTGTCCAAGATATCAATTTTGAGCCGAAGCCCCGTGAAAATGGCAGAAGACGCAAAAGACCCACGTGTTCAAGTCATCACCCACACAAACTTTGAATCATACAAACCAGAGCTGCTCGATCAATTGAAAGATGCGGATGGATGTGTTTGGGCCCTAGGGACAAGCCAAACCAATGTCACCAAAGAGTACGAGAGATGCCTTTGTTACATGAATATCAAACTAACAATGAATAGGCAATACGTCAAAATCACCAAAGATTATACCCTGGCAGCTGCAAATGCATTTTCCACAATCAAGCCGTCAGACCATCCCTTCCGATTCATCCATGTATCTGGCGAAGGCGCCACGCAAACTCCCGGGCGATTCTCACCGATCTTTGCGAGAGTAAAGGGCGAGACTGAATCGCTTCTCGGAACGCTGTCAGAGCTAAAGCCGGCCTTTCGGGTCGATAGCGTGAGGCCTGCTTTCGTTGATCCGGTGACACACGTCGCCATAAAGCCGTATATTCCGTCTGCTGGAATGACTGGAATTGTCTCGAATATTGGCCTGGCTGTGCTTGGCCCCAGTATACGATATCTCATGAAGTCGATGCATTCTCCAACGGAGCACCTTGGGTCGTTCTTGACGGAAATGGCGACGGGACGCTATGAGGGGAAATTGGAGGGTCCGGGGGTATTCAGATTAGGGGGAGGTTATGTCGTTGGGAACGTTGGTATGCGGAGGATTTTGGGGCTATGAGCATCCAAGGGGCTGTTACTATTATCATAGGAATGGCTTAATATGTATATATATGTTTAATTAGTTACTACTCTGATTTTTTGTTCTTACCCATCCCTAACGACATAAAATAAACATCACTCTGTGGAAGGTTGACAATCCTTTTCTTACTGATCAGTTGACCGGTCGTGGGCATTCAAGAGGGCGGTTATCGCAATTTTGAGCGGCTTTAGGTGTTGTAGAGGCGAAGAGCCATTGATCAACTTCCAGAATTGGAAGGAACTATCCGTGGACGCGTACCTTCCTCGAGTGGTATAGAGTGTGGATATAAGTCACACCAAATAGGTCCATATGATCCCTTTGTCAAATCTTATGATTCAAGATGTTTCCGTGCTCACATCTGGAGTTCTCTTCCGAGAGTAAGGTGGAATGAAATGATATAGCATCCCGTGAATGATAGACGCACTCAATGGTGCTATCCAATGTATCCAATGATAAGAAGCAAAATGCGATCCAACCATTGCCCCGAAGCATCGGGCAGGGTTTCCCGCTTTGAACTTGTTAGAATTCCAAGCTTGGCCATGTTGATTTAGAAACTCACAGAACCCGGTGTACCCAATACGGCTAAGCCCCGTGACAAAGGTACACATTCCTAAAACAATGCCAACAAAGATAGGGCCTAAGGCTGGCCCGAATACAGAGCGCTGTCGAGGATCAAGGCCGACACCGAATGAGAGAAAGATCAAAGCGAAATCTGTCGTGAATTCTATGGCGAATGCGCTGCCAGCTGAGACTTCCCTAGTATCAATATAGCAACCTGGAACGATGAACTGGATATATGCGTGAGCATGAGTCCTTCGCGGCCCAAAGGAGGTGACGTACAGATCTCGTGTCGAAGCTTGCTCTCAACAGCAAACCCGCCATGGTCCCTCCAAATGTTTGAAATCCAATGTACAGAATGCATCGTGGCAACGTTGCTAGTCGCCCGAAGAATGTGGCGATGGTGATGGTGGGGTTAAGATGCGCTCCAGAGACCGGGCCTGTAGCGAAGATGAACAAAGGAAGAACCAGGATCGCCGTAAGTCCACCAAGCAGACTGGGTACAAGTGCACCGGTCGCAAAGGTGCTTTGTAGTGTCACCATTAGAATCTCAGCGAACAAGGGAGTTGGAAAATAATTTACTTCACAGTTTCACTTAGGCCCACAGCTATGAAGCAGGTCAAGTATACCAGCAAACATGTTCCTAGGGTTGTGAATATTAATTTCACTTGCATATTTGTTGGAGATCACGGACCTATAGCTTCAACAGCAGCGGCCTTCCATAGCTCTACCTGTAGAATATGTCGCAAAGATAGGGCATCCTTTAATGGGATCCAGGGAGCAGCGTCGGGAAACTTCTGCAACAATTCTATCTGTGTACAGTTGTCTTTATCCACTGCGAATTCTTGATTGGCACCAATGCGTCCAGCGAATGGGAAGACGGTGGTTGGCGAAGGTAATTCCTCCGCAGCATGTCCGCTTCTCCAGAATTTGGCGTGTGGAAGCATGGTCGAAAAATCCCAAGGCTTGAAATATTGTTTCAATGAACTTAAGGGACGCACGAGTGCCCTACGACGGAAATATATCCTTGGCCTTGAGGTGACGTAGACCAACCATGTCGGGAATGTCAGAGATACGCGAAAGTTTATTATCACAGCAGGCGGAATACCTCAATCACCGTATAAAATACAAGACACATTTCATTCTCTCATGATACGTAGTTATGGAAGTGATTTCCGCCATAATCATATTAAGCTGCATCTAAATAAGGTTCCCACGGAGTCTGCAGACATCTGTCCCTAAAGACGTATATAAGACGAGATTATAACTGAATAGCTCTGCCAACACGATAACAACCAGGCAAATTTAGTAGATTGTAGTCCAACCGCTCTAAACACCCCAAACACTTCAAACTCTCCGAAAACTCCGAGAAAGGGGAAGATTCTTCGAAATATAACCAATCAAAGTGGGCCAGAACATCCGTCGAGTGTGGTGAAAGCTGTGAGCTCCGCCGACCAAAAGGAGAAGGAAGAATTTAGTCCTCAATCACGTTAGAAAAGGAGCCTGAAGGGAGATCTCAACTCCAAGTGAAAGATAGAGAAGCCAAACGCATGCCAAGTGATCGGCACGTTTAACACCGCGTTTATCAGCTAAGTCTATTGAGCCCCATTTTCGGCAGGAAGGTGTCAAAGGGTGTAACAGGCTTCCAAGGATAAATGCTGGGTTTCTGCTCACCAACGCGATATTGTTCTTTGATAAGAACGAAGGACAGATTTGGGTCCTTTTCATCCAATCAACCCCATGCTCTCGCGGAGACCGAAGTTCACAAAACGCTGATCTCGACCTATAAAAGCTACTCAATAGATAATTCTCCTCATCTGAATAAGAAAACTCCGAAAGAAAACTCCCAATGCTTATTCATGACATGCGATCGATTTTGCCTCCCCGGAGAATATAAATAAAGAGAGATAAACTGCTGCTGTCTTTGAAGATCACACCACATTCCACTTTCCTTCCACACACACACAATGAAGACCTTCCAACTTGGTAGCATTCTCGCTCTATGCAGCATGGTTTTTGCAACCGCAATGCCGGATGCCTCGATCTCTGGTTCAAGGGCATGCATAAAAGGGCCAGGTCCCAACAAGCCAATTGTGCCGGGCACCGAGTGTGGGGAATTCCCCTAGGGCTGGACTCTATATCGGAGCAGATATCCCCAGGACAGACATGTAAGTGCTTTATTTTCCCAGTGGCTTTTATTCCAAAACATCAACTTACTCTCGTCTATTAGCCGTGCTTCCGAACGCGTTCAACCTGGGTAGTCCACCTATCCGTCTCGGTAATTGCTTTCCCATATGGGATGCATATATCTAGTTGGAAAGGCTGCATTCTGATTGTTTGGTTTGGTTATTTGTGGCTTTCAATATTGTGACTTTTTCTGTTACAGGCTATCTTGGATGACACAATATCTCGCGCTCCTTTCTTTGTTGACTATGTGTGCGGTGATTGGCATCCTACAAATATCAGTTGTTCCTCGACCAGACGCTAGTTCTATGCAGTGCCATGTTTTCTGATCATTTCAAATCATTTCAAATTATCATGGTTCTATTATGATTCATATATCTTCCCCTAAGTTTGGGTTTGTAGAACCGAAGAGGAATATCTAATGAAGGAGCTGTATATAGACCGGATAAATGACAGGCTTGCTTTGGACGTCTGTGCACTTATAAACCAGTTAGTGCCTTCTTTTTTATTCATTTTGGGTGTCTTAATTGAAACGCACTAATCACCCAGATAATATTCAACGTCCTGATGGTAGTCTCGGCATTTTGGGAAAAGATAGTCCGGCGCTTCGGGATGACACTTTCCGAGTGACCGGGAAACTTACTTAGTTTTTATTAAAATATCTATCCAAACATCAAGATGTTTCAGGGATCAGATCCTTCGATTACTACGGGTACTCCGTGGTATTGAAACAACCATCACTCCACATGGAGTCCCACACGGAGTTGGGAGCCCTTGGCGGGGCTATATGAGCTATGTCCGCCGTGCGGAGTTGACCCCAGCGCATTTACACCCACATAAGCCAACCTTGTGCATATCCTGAACAAATGGGCCCTTCGTGTCGAATCTGCAGACTCTCTCTCCGCTCCTGGAACGGAAATCATCCAGCCGCCAAGGAGCCAGAAACGCCACGCATTGGTGGAACTATAAACAAATTCACGGAGCACTATGCAAGAACGGAGGTCTAGCTATATGCTAATTCTCCACCTTCCGTTTCATCATAAAGGGAGAAAAGTCCCCTCCTATATATATTGTGCTGCTTGTCTGCTCTTCAACGTCTATTGTTTGACAGCAAGTTTCTCCACATGATGTTTTTCAAGTCCCTGGCCATTGCTTCGTTGGCCCTTTTGGCTGACCAGGCATCCGCAGCCTTCGGAATTACTACTAGCGATGCTTCGTATGTAATCGATGCTGGCTCTTCGAACTCCCTCAAGTTTACTGTCAACCGGAAAAACTGCGACATTAATTCCATCAATTACTATGGGTCTGAGCTGCAATACAAGTCGACTGGTTCTCATATCGGGTCGGGTCTTGGTAGCGCAACTGTGTCTGCAACTGAAAGTGGTAGGTTCAGAAACAAGATAACTATTGAAAATGTCCTGATCAATATAGGCGACTACATTAAGGTGACATGCGAAACATCCACTTTGACGCATTATTATGTTGTCCACAAGGGGGATTCGACCATCCACATGGCAACATATACGACTGCGGGTTAGTGTTCTTGGTGTTCAAGTGTGGTGTATCTACTCATGATTGTCTTCAGAGCCCAGTATTGGAGAACTCCGATATATCGCGCGCCTGAATGCAGACCTGCTCCCCAGCGAAGAGCCATTTGGCGATGTGTCCAATACCGGAGGTGGTTCTGCTGTTGAGGCAGAGGATGTGGTAAGTTCCCTCTTAAGATGGTTCTTAATTGGCACACACAGCTAACACATAACAGTTCTTAGTTGACGGAGAAACGCGAAGCAAGTTCTACTCTAGCCAACGGTTTATTGATGACAATATCCACTGTAAGAAAACCTCCACCGTGTTTAAGGCGACTCAACCTAACACAAACAGGTGTCGCTGGAAGCGCACACCGCGTCTGCATGATCTTGAATCAATACGAAACATCCGCTGGTGGACCTTTCCAGCGGTAAGCTCCCCCGGCCAACACGACTTGATCCAGGCTAATATGCACCAGTGATATCAACACCAACAATGGCGGCTCTTACACTGGCCTATACTGGTACATGGTATGTAACCACTATCACTCAACCAATACCAGCATCTTACTCTATACAGAATTCCGGACACGTTAAGACCGAGACCTACCGCCAGGGCTTGCACGGCCCGTACTCGATGACCTTCAGCCGGAGCGGTACCCCCCAGTTCCAAGCTCGACACATCGTTCTTTGCCGACCTCGATATCAAGGGATATGTTGCCACATCTAAGAGAGGCTATGTTAAGGGTACTGCATCCGGGGCGGACTCGACTTTTAAATGGGTGATCCACTGGTACGTTCAACGCAGGTCGTACCGGAATGAGCACATGTCTAAATCTAAGATAGGAAAAATGATGACGCACAGTACTGGACCTACGCTTCATCTTCCGGGGCTTTCACCTCCCCCGCCATGAAGCCCGGCACCTACGACATGGTATACTATCAGGGCGAATTCTCCGTTGCCACCTCGTCGGTGACTGTTACTGCCGGATCAACCACGTCGAAGAGTATCTCCGGGTCTGTAAAGACAGGAACAACAGTGTTCAAGATTGGAGATTGGGATGGAACGTAAGTGTATTGTGTTAGTCTACGCGACCGTTCCGATATTGACTACCTATAGACCAAACGGCTTCCGAAACGCGGCCAACCAGCTCCGCATGCATCCCTCCGACAAGCGCATGTCTTCCTGGTCCCCAGGAACATACACAGTTGGCAGCTCTAAACTCTCCGATTTCCCCATGGCTCTCTTCAAAGCGGTGAACTCACCATTGACAATTAAATTCACGGCATCTTCTTCGCAGACCGGAGCTGCGACCCTGAGAATTGGTACGACTCTTGCCTTTGCGTCTGGTCGGCCCCAGGTTGTGGTATGTTCAAGCTATATCCTCCATCTTCAGGCTCTTCGTTTGCATCTAACACTTTAAATAGGTAAACAAATATTCGGGCGACATCCCATCTGCCCCAACTAACCTCAACTCCCGTGGCGTGACTCGCGGCGCATACAGAGGTCTCGGAGAGGTTTACGATATTAAGGTTCCGGCTGGAACTATCGTCGCTGGAACTAACACTGTAAGGGATTTGGAGCCTAGTCAGATGATAGGATGCTAATTTGCCTTAGATCACCATCAGTGTTGCTTCTGGTAGCTCTGGAGATGATTACCTGAGTCCGAACTTTGTGAGTAACTTTCTGGTCATCTCGTCTTTTCGATGGAAGCTTACCTGTTTCAATAGATCTTCGACTGTGTGGAGCTCTTCCAGTAAATATCTGGGACAGGGAATGCACTTTGGGATGCAGCAGAGCAGAAGATATAATTATTTTCTTTTCAGAGTAGCAAGAATGCAAATGACCGTATATTGCTTTATATCACTCAACTACCTACATACATGTATGATACAGATGCCCTTAAGAGGTGAGAACTACTAACCCCGAATATCAAACATGTCATAAATATGTGTAGTTGACATTCTAAACCGAGATATAATACGCTCAAAAGAAAAGTCTAAGCCAGAGAAATATATACATAGAAAACGATCGCCACTCAAGCCCTTGAATGAACCAACCTCCCCCCAACCCAAACAGCCTTCACATTCCGATCATCACCACTCCAAACCCACTTCTGAATCTTCTCATCCCAAGTCTCCGTCCCAAACAAATCAACATTCCCCACAGGACCAGCCTGCACAAGATCCTCACTCCCATCACCGGGAACCCCATCCAATGGACTCTTCTCCACCAACTTAACCCCACCCAGCCTAATCAACTGCACATCCCACAACATCCCCATATCAAACCCACCAAGATCGCTCCCCATATCAACAACCGCAGCTCCACCACGTGTAGCAAGATAAAGACTCTCCTGGACAGACAATTTCTCCCGTCCATCTGCCCCAACTCCATCCGCACCCCGAGGATGATCCCTCTGCCATGCAACCGATTGACCCAACAACCGCGAAGCAAGACAAGCCTGCCGCACCGCCTCAAGAATACTAGTACTATACCCCCCACTGACATCCGTGCCCAGACCAACCGTAATCCCGTCATCAAGCAGCGTCCTAACGGGACAAATCCCCGATCCCAGCGCCGAGTTCGACGCCGGACAGTGGGAGATCTTCGCTTCGCGCGTGCGGATCAGAGCCCTCTCATCCGCAGATAGATGCACCGCGTGCGCGAGGATCGTGCGCGGCGTGAGAAGATTGTACTTATCATAGACAGCGGCGTAGCTGTCCGCCTCAGGGAAGAGTTCCTTGACGAGCGCAAGCTCGTTGATATTCTCCGAGATATGCGTCTGGATATGCAGTGGGGGTGAATAGCTCGCTGCCAATTTGCCGAGACTCTGTAATGCGGGTCTCGTGCATGAGGGCGCGAAACGCGGCGTGATAATCGGTTTCACGAGCTTTCCTTCTGGGTCCAGGGTGTGGATGAACTCGATTGTCTGGCGGGTTGCGTGAACGGAGTCGTCTGCGCTGAAGTCGCGGTAGTAGTCTACGCAGAAGTCTGGGTTGTCCATGCATGCGCGGCCGATGAAAGCGCGTTGGCCGCGGGTGTGGCAGAGTGTTGAGAGGGCGTTTGTCGCTGGGACGTGGTTTGTTGCGTAGTAGGAGGCGCAGGTTGTGCCGTGGGATAGAGTGCGGGATATTACTTGATCGTAGATTTGTTGAGCTAGGAGGGGTGTGTCTTTGGGGTCGGTTTGGGTTTGGTGGCCTGTTTTGGGGTCTGGTGGAGACCCGAAGCGTGACTCTACGGGGAATGTGTAGGTCTCGAGCCAGTCTAGAAGAGTTGATGAGCCGAAGAGACCCGCGTTGGGGTATTGCGGAGCATGGATGTGGGTGTCTGGGTTGATATGTAGTTAGTATCAAGGCTTTGAATTTGGGAAGTTGGATCTACTGCGTACCGATGAATCCCGGGAAGAAGAATTCATTTTGTTCTTCATCCGCGGTAACGATCTTGACTCTGGTCTTCGAAACATGACCATTGGCTTGGGCCTGGGTATCAACGGCGTCGATATCAACCCACCCACTCCGACTCATCAATTCGGCGAATCCATTGTCATCACTGACATGCCAGTCCCAACCTTGAATGCGACCATCAGCAGCAGAGACCCATAATGCGCCTTGGTTGCGAGACAATTCAGGCTTGGAGCCGGCGTCTGGCAGAACCGATTGAATGAATGTGCCGCGATAGACAGTAAAAGCATAATCTGTTTGCGAGCTAATGTCGCTAGAAATCGAGCCCATATTCCCGTTAAGGGATTTCAAAGTTCTAATTATTGGCTGTGTATGATCAAGTTGAGGATGAATGTATGCAGTGGTGTATACCGCTCTCTAGAAGCAACTCAATCAGAAGTATCGGTGTATATTATAGACGGAAAACGCAGATAGATCTCCACAGTGGAAGTAAAAATACCCAAAGACCAAGTCAAATCTAACAAGGCGAGAAAAGAAGGTCAGGACACATTTATATATGTCTTCTCGGTGCTTCTTGTGGCTAGCTGTTGCCAAACGAGGGGCATTAGATGGGTAATATTGCCCGGAAAGAGTGGGGCACGAGTTGTGGAGAACTCCCAAGGTTATTCCTGCTTAATTGGAATGTTCTTAAGGTTCCTGAGGAGCATTGGTGACCTTGAATCGATGGGGTGGGATGGATTGTAGTGGGTTGGCTGGATGATTAGGGCCGCTGAGGTTATTGGAGAGGGCGGGGGTCGGCCGTCTCCGATGACGATACATGGGTAATACGGTATTTGGAGCGGGTGAGTTTATTTTAATAGGGTAATTTACTGCAAAACCGGTTACGTATGGTAATATAGCGGCGATAAGGCCGTCAAACGCCTTAGTTTGTATAAGGCCGGTAGATAATGATTGTGATTGTGATCCTTATTAATTATACGAGTTATAAAAAGTTATAAAAATATATAATTATAGCTTTCGGCTTCTTAATCGAATCTTTTTGTATTATTCTTGGCATCCATGGATGCTGGATGATTATGTTGAATCAATCCAACCGTCGTAAGGACGTCGTCTGTAGGTAGTCTTTTTCTACCGTCATCAAAAATAAGAAATGTTGAATGTATACACAGAGGAAAGGTGAGCCCCAAAACAATGAGCCCCCATATAAAAAAAAGCAATCAGCGCGGCATGGGTATCATAGATCTCTATAGATCTGTATCTATTCGCTGTCCTCGACAGGCCCGCAAGTGCAGAACAAGTTCTGGTCACCAAAGGCATCATCGACACGAGTCACGGTAGGCCAGAACTTCTTCTCCAAAAGTAAAGGCAACGGGTAAGCAGCCTGCTCACGAGTGTAAGGGCGGTCCCACTCAGAGATGAGCAGGTCACGCTGAGTGTGCGGGGACAACTTCAGCACGTTACCCTCACGGGGCTGGGAACCAGACTCGACCTCGCTGATCTCCTGGCGGATGGAGATCAAGGCATCGCAGAAGCGGTCTAGCTCGGCCTTGTTCTCGGACTCGGTGGGCTCGATCATGAGGGTGTTAGCGACGGGCCAGGACATGGTCGGCGCGTGGAAGCCGTAGTCCTGGAGACGCTTGGCGATATCGATGGCCTCGACACCGCAGGTGTCCTTGAAGGCGCGCACGTCGAGGATGAACTCGTGTGCGCAGCGGCCGTGGTCGTTGGTGTATAGGATCGAGTAGTAGGGCTTGAGGCGGGAGAGGATGTAGTTGGCGTTGAGCAGGGTGATCTTAGTGGCGTGGGTCAGACCGCGGTCGCCCATCATGTTGATGTAGTTGAAGGTGATGGGCAAGATGCTGGCACTACCCCAGGGAGCAGCGGAGATGGGAGGGGAGGAGGTGTCACCACGCTTGGACTGCAAGTACTCGCTGGTAGGGTGCGAGGGCAGGAAGGGACGCAGGTGCTCGCCGACGCCAATGGGTCCGACGCCGGGGCCACCACCACCGTGGGGAATGCAGAAGGTCTTGTGAAGGTTCAGGTGGCACACGTCGGCACCGATCTCACCAGGAGAGCAAAGACCGATCTGGGCGTTCATGTTGGCACCGTCCATGTAGACCTGACCACCGTGCTGGTGTACCAGGCGGCAGGCCTCCTTGGCACCGGGCTCGAACACACCGAAGGTGCTGGGGTAAGTGATCATGAAAGCGGCCAACTCGTCCTTGTGTTTCTCACACTTAGCCTTAAGGTCCTCAAGATCGAGGTTACCCGTCTTCATGTCGCACTTGACGGTCACCACGCGCATACCAGCCATGGCGGCACTAGCGGGGTTGGTACCGTGAGCAGAGACAGGGATCAAGCACAGGTTGCGCTTGGCATCACCCTTGGCCTCGAAGTACTTCTTGATAACACGGAGACCAGCGAACTCACCCTGGGCACCCGAGTTGGGCTGCACAGTAACCTCGGCCATGCCAGTGATATCGGCCAGCTGCTGCTCCAGATCGTCGATCATCTTTGTGTAGCCCTTGGCTTGCTCAGCAGGCATGAAGGGGTGGATCTGGGAGAACTCAGGCCAGGAGACAGGGATCATTTCCGTGGTAGCGTTGAGCTTCATGGTGCAAGATCCGAGGGGAATCATAGAGTGGGCCAAGGAAAGATCCTTCGACTCAAGGTGGTGGATGTACCGGAGCATCTCAGTCTCGGAGTGGTAAGTGTTGAAGACCGGGTGGGTCAGGTAAGAGGAGGTACGCTCAAGAGTGGCGGGGATGGTTGTGAGACCAAGAGTGCCATCAACCTCGACTGGAGAGGCAGACTTGTGAGCGGCAAAGACATTCAAAATGCCCTTGACCTCATCCCGGCCAACGGTCTCGTCGAGAGAGAGACCAACCTTGTTTCCCCCAGGCGACGGAGGAAGACAGAGGCAGCGCGAGCTTCGGCCATCAAGGCATCAGCCTCGGCAGCAGTGGGCAGCTCGATGGCCAGAGTGTCAAATACAGCGCCGCCATCAGCGCTGTTCGAGCGGAGGGGAACATCATAGCCCAGGCCGACAAGCTTCTCGCGGAGCAGTGACGTCATGGACATGATACGCTGGGCAATGGACTTGAGGCCAACAGGGCCGTGGTAGACAGCATACATGGCAGTCATGTTAGCAAGCAAAGCCTGAGCAGTGCAAATGTTGCTAGTAGCCTTCTCGCGGCGAATGTGTTGCTCGCGAGTCTGCAGAGCCAGACGCAGAGCCCGGTTACCGAGGCGGTCCTTGGACACACCAACGACACGACCAGGGACCTTGCGCTTGTACTTATCGGCACAAGCGAAGAAGGCGGCGTGGGGGCCACCGAAGCCCATAGGAACACCCAGACGCTGGGCACTTCCAAAGGCAATATCAGCGCCAAACTCACCGGGGGCCTTCAGCACGGTCAAAGCCAACAGGTCAGTGGCCACGCTGAAAGTACCGCCCTGGCCGTGGATGGAGTCACCCAGAGCCTGGAAGTCGTAGATACCTCCCTCGGTATCGGGGTACTGGGCAAGGACACCGATCAGGTGGTCCTTCTGGTCCTTGACGATCTTGAAGTCGTCGGCCAAGATATCTCCGATGACGAGGTTGATTCCGAATCCCTCGGCGCGAGACCGCATCACTGCAATAGTCTGGGGGTGGCAGAGGTGAGACACAACGAAGGACTTGTCGGCCTTCTTCTGCTTGGAAACGGGCATTGTGGCAAAAGACATGGTCATGGCCTCGGCACCGGCGGTGGCTTCGTCCAAAACGGAGGCATTGGCGAAGGGCATACCAGTCAGATCAGCAGTAAGGGTCTGGAAGTTTAGCAGAGACTCCAAACGTCCCTGGCTGATCTCGGGTTGGTAGGGTGTGTAGCTGGTGTACCAGGCAGGGTTCTCGAGAACATTGCGCTGGATGACGGGGGGCACAATGGTGGGGTAGTAGCCGGTTCCAATGTAGGTCTTGCCGGAGATGTCAATCTCCTTCCGGTAGGTGTCCAGCAGCTTGAGCATATCGGTTTCACCCAAACCACCCTGCACGCTAGAGCGGTACAGGCTGATATCGGCGTGGGGCTCGGAGACCTTGAGGTCCTTCTTGGAGAGAATGTCCTCGGGCAGGACCTGCTTCACGAAGTCATCCAGAGATGATACCGGCGGGTCGAGCACAGCGAGCATCTGTGCCGCGGCGTCCGGGGAGGGGCCAATGTGGCGGCGGGGGAAGGTATCGAGAGGCTGGAAGATATCCTGGGGGTGGGGATCTCCATGATCGGTGATGGAGCTAGTATAGACACCACGACGGGTCGTGGGCTGCGAGGTGTGTAATGCTCTCCTAGGGTTCAATGGTGACAATGAAGCTCGGGCGATTGTGGGCACGCGAACCCGCGACCGCAGAGCAAGCTGGCGGCTGCCGCGTAGGGCAAACAATGATGCCGCCATACTGAGACCGGAGGATAATGAGGACTTTTTGGATAAGCACTCAACACATCCACAAGTAAATCAGTAAATTAGTAAATCAATGAGTCGGGAGAATAAAGAAGACAAAAGTGCCAGAACTGTAGAAATTAATATTTATTGCCCACACCTTCCTTTTCCCTGTCCGAATGTCCGATGGCGGAGAACCTGTCGGGAAACTTTCCAGCGGCGATAAGAGATTATGTGAACCCTTGTTATCCGACCAATCACAGATGTCACCGTTTGCCATCAGCCCCAGATCGACCACTCACCGCCTTCTAGTCGGAGCAAATGGCCGGTTTCCCGTCGGAAAAGTCGCTGTACATCTACTCCACGAATTCCCCCACCGAGGGGGAAGCTCCGATGGTATCATAGCTTTCCTTGAGCTTCGGTTCATGCGGGTCATTTAGGGAAATGGAAAAGGCCTGTTTTAGCATTACTATCTTGATGCTATCTAGGACATGAATATATTCCCTTGACCTCAAATCGTATATCGGAAAGCCGCATCACCCTCAATGACCCGCTTTCCCCGGTCCGCCTGCTTATTACAGATTCGGAACCACAGACTCAAAACCAGAACCAGCAAGATGATGAGAATATTGCACCTGGAAACACAGTCAGTACACGAACACAATCTGAGACAGGGGGAAAGACCTACGCGATAGCAGCATACATTCCGGGCCGGTACCCAGGTGCGTCCTGTTCACGGAACACCAAACTACTCACGATACCACCGAGACCTCCGAACCCTACAAGTGTAGCACTGGAGAAAGCACGCGTCCATTGGCCACGCACATTGTTCGCCTGGTATGCCATGCAGGCTGGGATATTAGCATTAGCACCGGCAACAGTGAAAAACACGCCGACATAGCGGACGGCATCGCTCTTAGCGAATCCCATCATTGGCAGGCCGATGATGGCGAGCAGGGCGTTGAAAATTAGAACCGGTGCGCGCATGCGGTACTTGTCGCCGACCCAGGCCGTGGTGTACATGACGATTCCTGCGAACCCGTAGGGCGGGGCGACAAGGCATTGGGCTTCGCCTACACCGTATCCCATGCCGTTCATGAGGATAATGGGCAAGAAATAGGCAATGGCGTAAGTCACGGTAGTGAGACAGCTACGATGCGGTTAGCGGGAGTTGAGTCTGTTTGGAAAGGCAACGCACAAGAAGATCATGGCAAAGCCCCAGATCTTAAGATCCGTTGCAGGTTTTAGGAACTTCTTGAGAGAGAAGGCTTCCATATCGCCATCATTTCTGTCCTTGTTAATGCGACGGACAATGAACGCGCATTCTCTCTCATTTAGGAAGCGCCAGGACTTGTGTGCGCGGTCAGGGAAGTCGACGAGGAAGAAGAAGCACAGGATGCCAATAAAGCCCGTGATCTATATATTGCCTGTTAGCTCGGTGGTTTTGTTTCGGTCAATCGAACTCTGCATACCACTCCCTCAAGGATGAAGATCCATCTCCAGCCGGTCAACCCATGCTTTCCGTTCAATTGCATCAGACCAAACGCAAGGATACCCGCCAATGCAGAAGCGACACATCCAATGAGATAGAAAACGGAGAATCGCTTTTGAACGTCATCTTTGAAGAGTCAGCACTGTGCAGTCACTTTGAAGAGATCTCCTTTTTGGCGACTTCGCTCTTACATCGAGTATACCAGCAAGATAGCAAGTAGACACAACCAGGGAAGTAACCAGCTTCCAGCACACCCAAAAGCACACGCGTTCCAACCAACGCGCCCCAGTCCTGGACGAATCCCATTCCCTGTGCCAGTCAATAAACCAGAGTCTTGGTGTTAAGGAAGCAGAAAATCCTTACAATCATGATGCCCGCCCAGCATACAATAATCGAGCCCAGGAAATATGTTGGGCCAACTTTTCGAATAATAATCGTCATCGGGGGCTGGAAGATGATGTAGGGTACGAAGAACATGAGGACGATAATGGACTATTCAGATGTTAGCCATTCGTCTTCTGAAAAATGCGATGTGTTTGAACTGACATAACGTTCGCCAATGTCGAGTCGCAATTCCTGTTTCAATCTACTCTAGAGGTTAGCCATCGGTGCACACGATTTTCCTGCACACCTATGGTCTTACCCTGCAACGGCGGCCATGCTGAGATTTGTCCGATCCATAAGCGAGATGCAATAAGCCAATCCGGTCATAGTCACCAGACGCAGATCAATTCGTCGAATAATCTTCTTCTTCTCTTGTGGTGTAAATTCATCATCCTCATCATCGTTATAGCTAGGAGGGGGCTCTTCCCAGCGATATCCTCGATGCGGTGGTCACCAGATGGTTTCTCCTCAATTGGAGTCATGGTTCCCATACTGATATTAATATGTCCAACCCGACTTGAAGTATTGAATAGAAAGATAATATGTGGGAAAGTAAGAAAAAAGAAATCCAACTGTCTGGCCAGAAATAGAAGACAGAGCTGCACCCTTATCTATGAAACGACTAGACTAGCAAGGATACAAGAATTTTATATCCTAACAGGGAGACAGGCCTAAAAGAATTCAAATCCATTCCTAAACCAGCCATTCAAGATCGGCGCTCGCCTATTACAACCCAGTTCAATGTGGCTAGGAAAATCTCCAAGAAACAAGTCAATCGAGAGCACAATAGCCGGCTAAGAGCCTCGGGACAAGCAGAAGTGCCGTAGAAGAAGGCCATACACCGCAATATTGTCCGAAATAAATGAGGGGGAAGTCACCCCACTTAATGACAGCCTCTGCGAGTCATCACTTGCGCAGTGAGCTGGTTGGGATCGGTGGCGGCCGCTTCTGGACATAATCCGGGGGCGATGGGGGAGGAAATGCGGGGGAATGTACTTGGCAACTTGGCAAATGGTGCGTGGACTACGTGATACACTTTTTGGGCCCCTCGTTTGTTTGGGGATTTCAATCTGATGGTTGGTTAGGGACGTCACCTTTGTGGGACTGGGGTGATCTGTTCTATCTCTTGATCTATTCTAAAGGTTGCCAATGTTGCTTAGTGTTCCTTTGACGTTTCAATTTCCACAAATTGCCAGATGAGTACGCTATTATTGTTTTTTTTTAGTAGGAAAACTCTCGAAATCCCCTCCTTGCTTTTCAAAATTCCAAGTTAGTAAAGAGACATCTTGTACAACCAGGTGGTTAAGGGAGTGTCACCTGGGGAGGGTTCTGGCCAAGGGTCAGCCATGAGGTTATGAGGGAACTCTAACATTCCATGTCTCTTAATACGTCGGAGCTAAAACCATGATGGGTAATGCCGAAAGTGTAACTTGCCATGTGGAAAAGCCATAACCCTAGACGGGTTAATGTACATTAGAGAGATAGGCCGTATATCGTATATGGTGATATCATCAGGCACAAAGACATGGATAATATAGGCTATATCCAAACAACTCTATATCCAAGCAACTCTAGGCTCCTGTTCATTCAGACTATAGACCCACTATAGATATGTCTGTCATTTGACACCCATGTGATCCATATGAGATATCCCCCGAGTCCATATTAGAGTTGTTATAAGACCACAGAGCCAGAATATAGACAATGAATAAAAAGTGTCGACCAAATTCAAAACAGAACTAAATTTCATTTTTATACCTCGGTTTAACCTTCGAAACTACCAACCCCATTAACGGTAACCTTCCTCATCCTCGTATTCGTCGTCTTCTTCATTCTCTTCTAAGAGAAGTCTCTCGCGTTCTTCCTCGTTCGCCCGATCCTGCTGTCTCAGCTGTCTCACAGACATGAAAACAAAAGTCACGAGCGCGGTTCCAATAATGAATCCCGCAACTGCCAAGACAGCATTGATTGGAATTGGGTTTCCATCAAACGTATGATGCGTTAATGCGTCGAGACCGTACTGAGAGAAGTTGGCGAGTCCCGAGAGGCAAATAATGGCGCCGTACACACGCCCAAACGTAGCAAAGCCGAAGACTTTGGTGGTATAATCACTGGAGCCAAGGTTAGCACGTAGAATATAACAGTGGATGGAAACAGAACAACATACGACATGGCGGAGTAATATAGGGGCCGGAGTAAGACAAAGAGCACAACGGTGATATACCCAGCCCATACTGCCGGGATAGAGTTCAGCACACCAATAACCGTGGTGAAAAGCACAATCACCCCAAGCATAGTTGGCACACTGAGGCGATCAAGCAGGTACCCGATCGCAGGCGTGAAGAGAACACCACCGACAGGCAGTGCGACGTCGAAAAAGGCACCTATTTTATCTGCCTGCTCGCTCGATCCGAGCATGTACTCATATTGTGAGCGAATCGTCGCGATAAAGTAGTTCATGCGAATCATCTGCAAAACAGTCATCATAGTAATCAGGATAAACCATGGTGTAGCCATCTGCCTGTGCGCCGGCAGGCCATGCATTACACCCCAGACCGAACTCGTCTGTTGGCGATCCTCTTCTCGATCCGCGCGCATCTGCCGCTCATCTCTATCACCGAGCACCCCATCGATCTGGCGGATCTTTTTTTGTCGCCGCTCGGCTCGCTTCTTTCGCACGCTGTTTAGCTCCGACGTGCTCTCGATTTCATCGTCGGAGTCGTGAACATCGCGTGTGGCATCTTCGGCCCTTTCCATTTTGTTTTCCAATTGCAGTGTCGAGACATAGTCGCGCGCTGGCATGATGGTCACCAGTGCGATAGAAATACACACGGGGACTATCAGATATCCCAGGAAGAACTTATCCGGGGTGAAAGATCTGCCAGAGGCCTTATATACGAGCCGGTAGGAGAGGAATACCACAGCAGAGGCATCGAATGCACCAGTCACCAATGCGACGATCGAGCCCGCATGTTTGGGGAAGGCATTCGCGATCTGGAAAGAGGGAACAAATAAAAAGGTACCGGCCAGGGCGAGGAAGAAATTACCCACGATATATCCATCGAAGCCGGTTTCATGGAATGCAAAGGCCATAATGACACCGCCGATAGCAAGCAACAGGCAGGCAATGAACCAGCAGACGCGTGATCCGCATCGATCGAGAATCGTCCCAACTGGCAGGGCGGAGACATTGGCTGTTATCGAAGCAATGGTGAAGAACAGGTTGAGTCTAGTAGCTAGTTGGTCAGTTGCAAGTATAACTCGGGGTGGTCTGTGCAACAAACATACCGAAGGTCCTGCTGTGAGCACAGCTCAAGCCCTTCTTTTATTTCTGAAGGAGTGCAAAACTCGTGAAAAACGCCTTCCTCAACGAGGACAGGCTTAAGCGCTGCGAAGCCAAACACGATGCCCGACGCGCTCCAGCACGCGAGCACGGTGACAGCGACCTGGGCTGGAAGGTGTCAGCCGTTTGTCCTACACTAGGCCGAAGAGTACATACCCATTCCCTTTGTGGGGGAATGTTTGTACGCTGGTGTTCCAGGCCGCGTTTCTGCGACCGGGATACCCTCGCTTGGAGGTTGGATAACATCATAGCTGATTTTTCGGCGAATGTGAGCGAAGTCGCAGTCGTCAACTAAGTCTGATTCGAGTTCGCGATCGATGCCGTCAATAGCAGAAACATGCTGCACCAGTGACATTGCTCTGTGTTGAACAGATGGGACGTTGTGGAGGGGAGGTTGGTCTTATCGTGGGAAAACTTGTTCCCTCTTTCCCTTTTGGTCGAAGGTCATATGCACACCACTCCAAACTCGAAGTATAATAAGAACCTTGAAGACTGCATGCATAAACTGGGAAAATAGTTGCCAGCTCTGATTCGTCAGTCTCGCTAGATCGAAAGCTTTTTCCTACTTCGGCACAATTTTGTCCAATCACAATTAATATGCCTAAGAAACCAAGTGAAATTAAGGTGAAGGCATCCATGGATCATCCCCAACATCATGGGTACCTAGGTAATACCATGTACGGATTGGCTACTTTACAGTACTAATACATTATTGTACATCTAGCCCCTGGACCGAAGCACTAACATTCTTATTAAGTTGTAGGTGGACTCCAGCATTTCCATGATGAGTCTCAACTCACCTCCGGACAGCCTTATTATCTCTTCACTATCGATAGCCCGACAAAGAATCACATAGTCGACCTCCATCGCCATAACTCCAATAGTTGGTCCTACTACCTTGGTGGGTGGTAAAAGAGTGAGGTCCTACCGTATCACACAGGTGATTCCGAAAGAACTCCACAAACCTGTCATCTCATTGACATCCTGGTGCCACTAAGGACTGATTGCTTCCGGTAGCATTTCAATCACTGCTTTAAGGACAATGCGGATATTCCTTGGCAGATATCCTATCCTAAGAGCACGGAGGGGATTCGATCGTTAATAAAGCATCGTGCTGATTTCTCGGAAACGGCTGGGAGACGCTCTTCCCCGGGTGCTCAATGTGAACCAGTGTACCGGAAAAGATGAGGTTATTCTAAATTTTTCTTCTCTTCTTTGCACATTGCTTTGGATCATTTAGATGTTGGTATTCGTCGACAAATATGGATTGTAGGTCATGTGGTGGGAGGCAGTAGATAAAAATAGTAACTATAGACCCCAGACTTGGTCCAAGTACTGCCATCAATAGTTCCATGGGTCATAATATGTAGGAACAGGGCTTACATAATTATATTCGAAGAGCAACCTTGGAAGAGCATTACCTTCATATATCTATAGCTTAATCTCACATAAAAGATCTGAATGATCAAATAGAAGAAAAGAGAATGAAATCAAATCGGCTGTAGTCTACTTGTAGATGCCAAGAGTTAATATATGGATGATGGTATGACGTGTAGGGACCCAACGCCAATGACGTAGGACCTGTTATATGTTAACTGCCATGATGATCACTTTCCATTTAACCTGTTCTACATATATTGTCCATCGGATTATTTGTATATGTTCTTGGGTTGACTCATTTGTCTTTAGGATTTGAAACGAGAATAATCTGCAAGAAACCGAGTTACAGCGACAAACGCCGTACATGCGATTGAAAACCACAAAACACAAACAACACAAGTAACACAATGGCCAACATATCAATCAGTGCTCCTGGTCTGAACAGTGGTGGGTTTCTTTACAATAATGGCAACAATAATGCGCGACTATGCGTCACAGCCGAGACCGAAGACTTCGATATGGAGATCATCAAGAACTGGCAAGAGGAAGGATTCGACGTCCTATACCTCCCTTATAATGGCGGAGGAAAAGACTACGCTCGCCGGTTGCAATCTGTAAAGGACGGCCTTGGAGTAGGCGAAAACTACGCCGTGATCGGTATGCACAGAACGTTCTCCAAATAATCATAAACTGGAGTGATGAACTGACTCACCCGATTCCTAGCCTATGGCGACGCCGCGGACTACTGTCTCGACTACTATATCAATTCCATCAACGCCAGCCGACTCTGCGCCCTGGTCGCCTACTACCCCAGCCTAATCCCCGATACGCGATCGCGTTTCCCACTCTCACTTCAGGTCCTCGTGCACTTGGCGGGTGAGACTGTAGATGTACTTGTTCAGCCCGTCGCGCTCGGCTTGCAAGGAAAGAAACGCCGCCAGACGCGGCCGATCAACGCTGGTATCGGGACTGGAGAGCGTTTGGATTTGGCATACCCGGCGTTTACGTATGATAATGCTGTGCCCGGGTTTGCGGAGACAGACCTGGAGGAGTACGATCATCTGTCGGCGGATCTAGCTTGGACGAGGACTTTGAAGGTCCTGCAGAAGGGATATTCTAGGGATCCAGATTATGAGCAGCGGTATGAGCAGCATGCGGAGGGTAAGTTGCAATCGTAAAGGGATCGAGGATGGTGGGCTAATAATTGGTTAGGCAAGTTTTTCTCGTCGAACGTCAGGAAGGCGATGGATGGTTATGTGCAACACAAAACCCCCGGTGTAACTTATACGCCGACCATCAGCGGCGGGATCGGGAAAAAGGCCTTGCGCCATTTTTATGAACATTACTTCATCGGCAGACTACCTCCGTCCATGCGCCTCCGACTGCTCTCTCGTACCACAGGACCCGATCGCATCGTAGACGAGCTGTACGTAAGTTACGAGCACACACAGGAGGTTCCATGGATGCTACCGGGTGTCCCGCCGACAAACAAGCGAGTCGAGATCATCCTCGTGAGTATTGTCAGTATGCGCGCCGGGCGTCTTTACTCTGAGCACGTATACTGGGATCAAGCCAGTGTCCTCGTGCAAGTCGGTCTTCTTGACCCCAAACTCCTGCCGGATGGAGTCCAGGGTGTCGACCGACTACCTGTTGTTGGGCGCGAAGCTGCTCGTCGCATCCTCCACGAGGATACTGAGTTTGAACAGGAAGACTACCATAACAAGATGATCCGTCGGGCGCGTGCCCGTGCGAGAAGGAGCATGAATCAGAGCTCTCAAATGTCGCAGGCTGGCGATGCGTCCGGCGCTGATCTGAAGAGTGAGGCGGAGCAGTCTTTGCCTGATAGGAGTCGGAATAAGGGCAAGGCAGTTGAGAAAACTAAGCCCGCGAGTCTGCAGTTGGCGGCCACCGAAGCGGCCGGGCATGAGAATGGTGATGGCACTGATACCGAGACAGAGTCTAGTGTCAACACTAGGTCCGAAGCTGGCAATCAAACTGCTTATGTCCAAGATGGGGGAGATGATAGTGCTGAAAACAGGTTTAAGCAGACATGACTTGTGATACCTACGTCTAATGGCCATAGAGACAGTCCCATGGCCCTTAATCTACCCCTAGAGGAGATCAAGTCAACAATTCGTAAATGAAGTGGGGAATATCCTTTTGATTTTTTAGGCGATTGATTTTTTATTATGGGTGATGTTATACCTATCAATTTCTTGTGTGTAGCATTCTTGTTTGTCACTATTTTGGATAACTATGGTCATTAATGTGATAGGTACGTTTGAACAACTAAGAGTTACCGGAAAATCTATTACTCCGACACACCATATGCGCTCAGACGACAATAGAGTTTGTTTCTGCCGTGCAGAAACTTAGTAATCGCCGCAACCTAAAAACTCTCAAAACTGAAGCCTTTCATCAGCATACAAATGCAGATTTCTCCTTTTCTTTGGCAGTTTTCAAGTGTCAAAAATGAAGCTTTTCATCCCATACAAATGTAGATATCTCCATGTTTCTTTGGCCGTTTGCAAGTGTCAAAAATAAAACTTTTTATCAGCACACAAATGGAGACTTCTCACTTTGTATCAGCTTCATTTTTTGAAACTTACAAACCGTCCAAGAATGTCGACATCTGGAGATATCTCACTTTGTAACTACCATGTGTACGTAGTTATGGTTTAATTTACATTACATTGTATAGGGCGGTGTAAGGAGACAGATTAAATCAGGCATTAAGGCATCAGTATTTACTGGAAATCGGGTTTTGTCAGTTGGCGCCTATACCACTGCGTAAGCTGCCACCAAGAAAACCAAAAGAAAACCAAATGCGTTATGTCAACAAATAGCCCAATTAGTTATAACAATCTCCCTCTATCCCGGCATTTTCACCATCTGATGAAAACGGTTTCTCGACTCTAGAGCAGCAGGAATGTCTAATTCATCCAATCTATATCGTCCCGTGCAAAGATGATAAAATATATACCCATGAACAAACTTGTCGATACGCTCAGCCATGGCGTTATCATCGGAAAATATGCTGCGGATCTTTCGTACTTCAGACATGAGTTCTTTGCTGAGTTGACGCAGTGACTGCAGAGGGGTAATATTATAGGCCTTAGCATGGTTCCGTACGAAGCCTGGACTGTCTTCGGCCTTGCACTCCTCCTTGTAGAAAGAAAGAAGATCGTTGACATAGCCTAGGAATAGCATAATACTTGGAATAGCCGAGACATATCTTGCCAGGTCACGTTCCTCCGGGTTGATGTTCTCGGGGAAGCAGAAAAAGGCGAATGGCTCAGCGACACCCGTTTTTGCCCTAAAGAACACCAGATAATCGGATGCATCTTGTGGCAGGTGTAAACATTTATCTTGGCTTTGTTCGACCACAGCTGCTGAGATGAACTCCATTGACCCCTTGACTATCATGTCACCACCGAACTGTCCGAAAAGACGCTGTTGGCTACCCAGGAACTTTGTAAAGCCACGGAGAAGCTCAAGCTGATGTGACTGGCCGAGGATTGCCTGACCGACGTAATCTTTTAAGTCCGGTAGAATCTCAGTGGTGAGATCGTCAATGGTGATAACGTATGAAGCATATAGAGCAATTGCTTCTTGGACCTCATGCGAGACAAAAGGATATGTGAAGCTGGTTATCTTAGTTGCTGTGTCGATGCATGGCCCGTTTTGTTTTAAAAATTCCCGTGAAATGCCGTGGGATTCAAGACTGTTCTCAACGCGACTCTTCAACCCCACGTCATACCCAGAGTGTGGTGGTTGGAATGAAACCTCGCGTAGAAACCCGTTCACAATTGCTTCGTAATCTTTTTTTGAAACCGTACTGCGAGAGCAGATCTTTTCCGCAGTAGATTTGGGATCCTTGCTATTCAACTTCAAAAGGACGGCCAGAATAGCCATTGAGAAGATAAACACAATCAAAAATAGAAGATCCATCTGGAGGTTGGAAATGCGAGAAGTCCAGTTCCCATCTTGACCGGCTCTCATAGCGTACAGCGGCCTTTCCGTGATGGGATCCTAATTCCTAGGTCAGCCGTGCACCTTTTGAGAGTATGTATCTGTATAAACTTACCATATCTTCTTTAATAGAGAGTTATTTCAAGGCTGCTATCGGGTAGGATACGATTTCACGAGAAAGGGACAAGAAATTACCACTTATTTATATTTCTAAAATATTTCTCGCTTTATACAATGACCGTGCCAAGCGCCCAACAGGGCGCTTTGACACGTGGTGATGCATGCCCAGGTGATTTGTTTAATCAATATAAATTAGTCCCGCAACAAGGGAGCGTACCTACCTAGGTAGGGAGAATATTAGCAATGAATATACATCCGATATACTGTTGTGTTACCCCATGTGCTGTTGTGTTACCCTAGGTGCTGCTGTGTTACTTCACATACCATAGGTGCCCGATTACCGGATGCGGTTTGTAACGGTATTGGTGTCTGAAAGTTTCGGATGATGCCTGCATTAAAGCTGACAGGAAATAAAGATACCTGAATTACCATAACATAGCCCTTAGTAAGCAAAGTACTTCCAACCTTAGAACCTTTGAAGGTTGTCAAAGTACAGGGTTGCATACATGGATTTACATAGTATTATACCTACCATGGAAGGTTATGTAATCAAGCTTGGTCATTACCGCACAGAAACAGCAGTTTCTATTATGTATATAGAAAATGCAGAGTTCTCCATATCAGCCCTGAGGTGCATACATTTCAATACGTCAGATTTCTGTCAAAGGTTAAAATCTCCAATGTCGACAACACCTTAAAAATAGGCATTATATATGACATTGTTCATATTCATACAAATACTATGATTCCGTTTCGCATTTTATTTCAAGTTCCAACCAAGTCCTGTCAACTTCAACCTTGGAAGACTCCTTCTCACGTCAATAAATTCTGAACTCGAGATGTAATCCTTGTTCGAACCCTTAGAAAGCTCCTGGGAACGACTTTTGACCCAATCCCGCCGCCACATGGGAAGTATCAACCGAGCCGGGAATATTAGGGCAATACTCGAATTCCATACAGTCACCGTCTGCCAGAGCACACAATGTTGACCGGTGAACTTCTGCCCGCGAGGACACTGAGGGCCCTCGGTGTGGATACATTCTTTGGAAACAGGGTCCTTGGCATATCCGTATGAACATTCGGGTTCTTTTTCGACAACGCATTTCATGTTCTTGAGGACTCCGTGTGGACAAGTGGGAACAGTCTCAATTGTCATGTCTCGTTAAGAATTCTCCCGCAAAAGAAAAAAGATGTTTCTTCCCCACATTTTATATTCATCTACTTACTATTGCCTATCTCTTAAGACATATACGCAGCGTGACTAGTCATTACCAGTATATAAGACCACCACTATCAAATATCTAGGGTTGCTATTTCGGCGGTCGAGGCACGCCGCTTTTCAGTTACCGCATATCTACATAGTGCTGACGTCGACCTCTTCATGTACGGAACATACACAGAGTGAATATCGCACCTCCGCGCGGTTACTTCAAATACTATCGTTGAAACTGCACATATGCATTGAGCCATCCCCAAAATGAGTTCTTAGTGGCTTAAAGACGCCCCTCAACACAATCTCACCCCGGACCCAGCCAATATGACGCGCCGGCACTCACAGTTCCAGACCGGTCGTAAACCTGAATTTCATCATGGCTTCAAACTAGACGAGACGCATGTCACGGGCCCAGTACCCTTCCTAAATCCCACCTCGGCACGCTACGAACCATCCCAACACCCAGAAGACACTCGTACTCCCCACAAGTCGAGCGTATATGGCGATCCCGCGACAACAGAAAAGGCCGACATGCCATTCGCATCGATACAAAGGCCTTGCCCCATGAAACGGGGCTTATAGTACCACCAGTGACGCACTCCATCCCAGCAATAGCCAAGATCTTTCTCCGGATGGTGACCTACGTCCCGTATTGGGACGTATCGTATCTAGTCGCCGTAAGCTTCACTATCGGGTCCGCAATCTTCATCGTCAATGGGTTCTTCGTGTGGTTACCGCTGGTAGACAAGAAGACCGAGTTTCACGGTGAAATTACCGTTGCCGGCGGTTGGACGGGGTTCGTTGGCGCGACTATCTTTGAGCTTGGGGGTGTCTTGCTGGTTCTTGAAGCTTTTAATACCAATCATACTGGGTGTTTTGGCTGGGCGCTTGAGACTGTCCTCGAGAAGAATATCGAGGATGGGATTCCTCGACATACGATGAACGAGATCAGGCCGACGGCTTCGAGGTGTGAGCATCATCACGCGAATCGGAAATCATTTCTCAGGGAGAAGCATTATAATGCCAATGACAATGCACACTCTCAGAGAGATGATACTGGTTACGTTACTTCATCGACAGATGGGAGGTCATTCCGATGGATTCCGTCGATGTCCGAACTACGCAGGCATTACTTTCATGAAATTGGCTTTATAGCTTCTTTTATCTTATTTGTGAGCGCGACGATCTTCTGGATTGGTGCAATTGTTGGCATTCCTGGTATATTTAACCACATAAGTCAGGGACTCACTGATGGCCTCTACTGGAGTACTGCCACTCTTGGTGGGATGGGATTCACTCTGAGTTCATTACTGTACATGCTTGAGACGCAGCCAAAGTGGTATATTCCCTCTTGGCATGTTCTGGGCTGGCATATCCAGCTCTGGAATTTAATTGGCAGTGTTGGATTTACTCTTTGTGGGGCGCTGGGTCCGGCGAGTAGTAATTCGGGCGTGAATTATCAATCGTCACTCGCTACATTTTGGGGCTCGGTGGCTTTCATGATAGGATCTATGATCCAGTGGTATGAGAGTTTGCAGAAGCATCCTGTTGAAAAGAAGTGATGATGAATCAGGGCACATATGACACCAAATATTAATATCTTCATTAAAATCCAGCCGCGCACTTCATGCATGGAAGCTTGGTCTCGCCAATTGACTGAGCACCTTCACGGTATCAACAAAAAGCTAGGACTTGCTTCCGAGTTCGTCTACATGGGTGATGCTGGTGCGTGGCAAGATCCTTATGCGGGTTTCCCCAGTGAGAACGTCGCTCGCATGAGAAAGATTAGGTCTGCTTATGACCCTGCTGGAGTTTTCACCACTCTTAGCTGGGGTGGTTTCAAGCTGGGTTTGTAATAGACTCGGATTTTCGCCTTTGGGTAAGTCTAGCGACAAGTCTCCTTAAGTGACGCTTTTGTCGTGTATAATATTTGCAAGCGGTTAGGCACTCATATAGAGCACCTATATAAACTCATTATCGCTACATATGGGATTAGATGGAACATCCAGGGCATAGAAAAGTCTCTTGCACAAAGGACCTTTTACCACCTTCGTATACACCTAAAAAGACATCTAAAAAGGACATCTAAAAGGCATGACAAAACCGCATAAGTGGCCGACTATTCTTGTACAATCTCAATAACTATAATCTAACTACACAACCCTTCATAGGCATGAAATCTTGTTTAAATTTAATGACATAGTGACAATGTCTATACATGATAGCAACCGGTTTTATCTAGTAGCATCAAGAAGCGAAGTTGTCACTAAAATGTTCGGAGAATGATCACCGGCCAACCTCATAGATCAATGTCACCAATTATTTTTGGACCTGCCATCTCTAGGTAAAATGGACGAATAATATGACAGTATTCATTGGTTACCAAGCATTTCCAAGCCTTTTAAGAGGCGAATAGCCGTTCATTGGAATGTATAGGGAGCATCCACATACCACGCACGCCTAGATCGACATCGTATTGGACTCTTTGGGACTGGAATGTGCGATCAGACAGCCGATTAAGAGAAGATAGGATTTTATGACACTTGCCAGCCCCTGAGTATGATGCAGAAGTTCGATCTAAATTTTAAACCCGTTTCACGTTCAGCGTCATAATCATTCCAGTCATTCTTCCCTGCCATCCCATTACCGCGATGCAGCACTCATGGAATGAGAAAAATGATAGGGCGTACTATGTATATAAGAGGAGATGAGTGTCTTGCTTCCTATGTTTTGCAATCATCCAATTCTATCTGATTATCAAAAACTATAACTTTGAGGATATCAAAATCCCATCAACCATGCATTCCCTCACCACATCATTCATCTCCCTATCCCTGCTATCAAGCACAGTCTACGCCCAAAGCATCGCCCGCGTCTGGACACACTTCTACCCAAACTGCCCCGGCGAACCATTCACCAAACTCGACACATACGAAAACTACCAAGTATCCGGCCCATCCCAAGATATCACCATAGACAGCTGCAAAAACTTCGCCGTCCCCTCCTACGAACACAATCTCGTCAGCGCTATCTCCGTCGACGCAGAGCTCCTCTCCCACAACCACGACCTCCCCTTCCTAGAAGGCGGCAGCGGCTGCAATATCACCGTCCACGAGGTCCCGGGCTGCATCGACCCACCCCTAATCAGCAAAGAGATTAGAAATGGCGTTGAAGTCAGCCAGTGCGAGCCCCGCCAGTTCGTCGCTTACAGCCAGGTCTGGGTGAATCTGGTTTGCGATAGCGATAGTCCCCTCCATGATGAGAATATTCCCGCAAAGGAGAACAAGGAGGCCAATACCAAGCAGTCCATGTCTACTGCTCAGCCTGATGCGCCTGTGCGCGCGGAGAAACAGACTACCATTGAGGATATCCGTAATATCCAGACGCCCGGGTCGAGTTCGGATTCTTCGCGTTCGTCACAGGTTACGCAGAACGAGCGTGAGCCTGTGCAGGAGGGGCGTGTTAATAATGCCGGTCATGCGGAGAGCGACCGGATTGTTCATCAGACGATGGAGTTGTTGAAGAATAAGACTTCGCATATCGTCTCTGGCAAGCACCATGCCACCCACTCGAATGTTACGCTGCATCACAATAGCACTGCCCCGGGCAATCGCACTGTGATGTCTCGTCGCCGTTTGTCTGTTTTGCGAAACCGGACTGCTCGTTTTATTTAAGATCTGGTCTTTGATTATATATCTGAGCGTTCTGTTCATGTTTGATGAGTTGGAATCATTTGTGTATACGAGATAAATAAAAAGTCAACTGTTATATTTGAAAGCGTCGATTCCCAGTCCCTTGTACTGACAAAGTGGTAACTAAAGGTTAGAAGCGATATTCCTTGTACTTGGAACTCAACTCAAAGTAGGGTAGATAAAAAGCGTCAATGGGTAGGCCGAAGCGAAGATGTTTTCGGTGTATTCCGGTCTACCGACCAAACGAAACAATATTTTGTGTCAATTGTAGACAAACATCAGACTGTACAACAGCAAGTCTCTATATGGAACTTCCTGTAATGGGTGTAACAAATTTAACAACAAACCGCACCCATGATTCACAAGTTAATATTCTAACTTGTCTCTTCGTCAATATCTTGAGCTGCCTGCTTCCGACGAGCAGCCTCCTTGCCAGCAAAGCTGAACAACATGCCAAGATCATAGATCACTTTCAAGCATCCAGCAATCATGAAGGACACGCCGAAATGGCCATTGCGCGACAAAATACCCGTCAACAGGGGACCCATGCTCTGGGCGGTAGTTTTCACAACGTTCACCGCGCCCATGACAGCAGTGCGCTTGTCTGCCGGCAGAGCCGCAGCAAGGAATGCGGAGCGAGGCGCCACATCCATGTTCTGGGTACAGGCTCGCAGAACCAAGAAGGTCAGTGCCAGAGGCAAGCTATTTGGGACGGAGATGAGAGCCAGGCAGATCGCCGACGGCAGATGGGTGAATACCATAGTCTGTCAAAAAGTTAGAAGTCGCTCAGTTGCCCAAATAAGAAGAATGTCTTACCTTGACATTACCAATTCGTTTGGCAAGGGACGACGCGACCAGCATGGATGCCGCAGAGATGATGTTTGTGGTGAAGAAGATACTGCCAAGTTCACCTTCAGGCAGATTGAACTTGCCCTTGAAGAAGTACGTCATCCAGGACCTAACAAATCACAATTAGAAATTGTAGCTGAGAAGAGTTGGGATCCCACTCACAGTGAAGCCAATCCAGACGCAAACGAGTCCACTCCAAACAGAATGAAGAGACGGATAACCAGCGACCACAGGTCCTTTTCGATAGACGCGAAGAGTCCCTTCTTCTTCGGGACCGGCTCGGCATCCTGCTCGACTGGTTCTGCCAGCAGCGGTCGAGTTTCAGAGCTCTGCTCCTGCGGCTCCTCTTTCTGTACTTCGACTTTTCCACTCAGGCCCAAAGTAAAGATTAGCTTAACGACACCAACGCCAGCATAGACGAAGAAAATGATGCGACAGGCGGGGATAAAGGCCCATCCGTGGATTGACTCAAGAGAATTGATGATCCAGCCACAAACAAGCATTCCCAAGGCCGAGCCAGCGGTTCCAATCAAGGAATACCAAGCAAAGACATCACTCAGAAGCTCATGTGGTGTGAGATGAGCCAAAGTGGATTCTTCCACAGCGCGGAACGGGCCAATTTCATTTCCACTAATAAAATTAGCTCAGATACAAATAAGAGCAAGCAAGAAAGAAATACGGATACTAACCTCGGACTAATGACACCAAATACTGCAGCTGCGAGTAAAATCCAAAAATTTCCGAACAGCGCGAAAATGACTCCGCTGCAAGCCATGAGGATTGATCCGAGCGACAACACCGCCTTGCGACCCATAGAATCAGCGAACAAAGTGAGGAAGAAGCTAATCACCACATCTCCGACCAATGTGAGAGTCATAAACAAGCCAATGCGATCATCTGAAATCCCCATGGCCGACAGATACGATGCCAGAATCAATGTCGAGCCGCCGTACGCGAAGAGGCGCACGAAGCGCTGCGCGCAGAGAAGCTTCACGTCTAGCGACGACCGCCACATGGTGGTTAGGCCCAGCTCTTCGAGGACATGGACCATATAACGCGCTGGTCGCGATTGATTCTCCATTATCAGATTATCAGATGGGTGGAAGGAAGAAACAACCTTGGAAGTTGAAAGGCCAATCACCTTTTTAACTCCGACCTCGGACTCGGGGTTCGGGCCGGGGCTAAGCTTTTTTGGGAGAACTGAAGAAAACCTTGGAAGTATAGTATTTCTTCTTTGGGATATATAGAAAAATATATATTATGTACAAATATTCTCGCAAGTTGTGTTCTCTCCTCAATTACTGCTCGGTCTTGGGAGGCCATTTCACTCGTCGTTCCGCACGCACATACAAGTTGGTAGGACGAATCAACTGGAACATGGGATCATACTCCACTGACCCATCATTCTCTTTTGTGAACTTGTACCTGTACAACAATTTGGGCAAGAACACTTTGACTTCCTGCAAGGCAAAGCTGAACCCAATGCACATACGCGGTCCAGCAGCGAAGGGAATGTACGCAGTCTTATGACGGTTCTTGACTTCCGCCGTATCCCAACGATCTGGGTCAAATCGTGCTGGGTTAGACCAGACCGCTGGGTTGTTGTGTATGTGGTGAAGAGCAGGGATGATGATAGAGTCTTCGGGGAGCTTATATCCACCTGGAAGAATCATGTCGACCTTGGCTGTGCGCGCAGGTTGGTATGAGGGGTTATGACGGCGCTGGGTTTCTTTGATGAACTTGTCCAAGAATGTCAGACGGTCCGTCAGATTTGCGGTCATTGGGGTATCGGCGTGGATGTCGTTGTCAATCAATTCTTGTAGGAGTCTTTCCTGCATCCCGGGGTAGTTGACTAGCGAATAAAGCAGCCATGACAGCAATGAGCTAGTAGTCGTGAAACCAGCACCAGTGGCTACTACTAGTGCCTCCATCAAACTTGTCTTAGGCAATTTCTCGCCCTTGTTATCGGTAGCGCGAATAATATAATCTACCTAGATGTTAGCTCAAACTTTCCAATTTCTAGTCATCGCACTTACCGATCATGTTAGAGGCCTTCAATGCAGCATCCTGCAAGGGGAGATCCTCGATGCCATTCTGAGAAGCATTTTGGATTGACTCGTTGACCATCTCCATAATACGATAGCGCGCATCCCGTAGGCGTTGCGGGTCACCGAAAGGCAACTTAGCATACCAATCACCACGGGCGGTCACCTTCTTGTTCAGCTCCAATGTCTCGGCAATTCGGTAGACAAGCTCATGTGGCGGTGCATCCACGGCGGAGAAATGCTTGAAATCCATACCGAGAACCAACTTGCCCACGGCCTGCGCACCGAGCTTAAGCATGTACGGGTAGACGTTCCACGCCTCGCCGCGCTCGTCTAGCTCGTCGAACACGCTGAATGCATCCTCGACGGTCTCTTGCATAGTAGGTGCGTAGTGGCGCACCGCTTTCGGTCCCAGCGCTGGCGGGAGGAATTTGTGTGCCGCGCGCCATTCGGGTGTATCTGTGTCGCCCACAAACACACCGGCCTGTTGGTTCTTGATTGGGTGCAAAGGGTGTGCCTTGTTGATTCTCTTGGTAAAGAAATCAGACTCGGAGAAAACGATGGCCGATAGCTCAGGGTCATTGGTGTGGTAGACTGTCCGGCCCATGTTGGTGGTTTGAATGATGGGTCCATATTGGTCAAAGAGACGCTGGTGGTTTCCTAGGTGGTCGGGGTAAACCTCGAAGTAGTTTCCCACGAATGGTAGTCCCTTAGGACCGGGGATCTCCCGTACTGCCTTGCCATCTATTGAGATAGCAATAGGCTCTTCATTGGCGAGGATCTCCGAGGGAGTGGACAATATCGAGTCCTCTGACTGGAATCCGATGCCTAGCGTGAGAGTTAGAATAATATCAGAGGCAATAGGATAAGGGCATACATACCATTCGGCTCAACGATGGCAAATTGTCCAGCAATGAGAAGCTGAAGTCCTTGGTAGTCGACTGTTGTCTCTATCTCAATTGGACGAGCTGAGGTGATAGCCTCGCCCAGCAGATAGAAATGTTTGACAACCATCGTGCAATGGGAATGAAAATAATAACGTGGTCTTCCTCTCTTGCCCAGGTGAAGGGCCCGCTCACATTTATAGGGATCTAATTATCTGAGCCTAAGCCATTTGAAACTATATAGTTGACTCCACTATTCATGAAAACGCGTCCAAATTATTTTTCATTTCATAATAGAAGAATGCATAACTATCTCTACGAGCCTCGGTTTAAAATCTTTCTTGATTAGGATCCACAATTAACATCAGGATGGTAAAGGAATATTAGAGTGGACGTTGTTTCGGGCTGTGGCCGACGGCACCGCGAAAAGTGCCGTCTCAGACGGCCCCACCGACAAGATAGAGCATTTTTAATTTAATTTATTCTTCAAGATGCCGAGGTATGTTGAATCCCTACTTGCTGGTAGGCTGGTTTTATGTACATATCGGAAGTGCTAAGTGGGCTATTGTGACAATTCATTGTTCCAGGACGGAGTACGGAGGACTCTTTCGTGATATTAAATTAAGACTCCGTCCTTTTGATTTCTTTTTTTTTTTGTAAAATAATTCATGCACAATGTCTGTTCCAGAAACAAAGGAGTTAAAGGCTGAGTGGAAGGCAGATGTCGAGCTGCCAGAGTATACATTGAAAGATGTCGCAGCACACAACACCAAAGGTGATACCTGGATGGTCATCCACGGACAAGGTAATAACCTTTAAAATAATCAAAAGACGGTCCTAACATTGCAACAGTCTTTGAACTCACAAAATATCTGCAAGATCACCCAGGTGGTGCAGATGCTCTCATCGAGGTAGCTGGCACTGATGCCACAGCAGCCTATGAGGATGTTGGGCATTCTGAAGACGCCCGTGAGATCATGCAGCCCTTCCTGGTGGGCACATTGAAGGATGCTCAGCAGTACGTCCGGCCGAAGGCAGTGCGTGTTGTCTCCCAAAAAGCACCTGCAGAGGCCAGTTCCTCCTCATCGACTATCAAAACGATAGCTTGTGCTCTGGGTGGACTAGTCCCAGTCTTCTACATCTGCACCCAAAACAACAATCTCACAAACTGCCTGGCAGCCATCTCCCAATTGATCCCTCCCCA